TAAACTCGACGAGATTACGGAGCGAGAATGGGAACAGTACAAAATTTCAAATTTTAAAAGTAGCAACGATTTGAATAATAAGCCAAAGGTGGTTGATTTGCTTGAATTTTTAAAATCGCGAGCAGATATGTTAGACACATTAAGTTTTAATCACAACAAGTCAGTATTACACAGTCACAAACACAATAATAAAGTACATTGTAACATTTCGACCAATAAATCTGGTCGCCACTTATTACGAAATAGGCAGTGTTTGATGTGCAAGTCTAATCATTCGCTTTATTCATGTGAACAATTTTTAAACGCGTCAACTAAGGACAAACTCGAGTTCGTACACAAGAATAAATTATGCGAAAATTGCTTACGATCGGGTCATACGCCAAAGGAGTGCAGGTTCGGTACTTGTAGATTGTGTAACAAAAAACACAACTCTTTACTACATACAAACAATAACACAACCAATGAAAGTATTACGGGCCTTATCACAAATGTGAGTTATCTAGAAACCGGTTTGAGCACAAAGAGGCACTCGCCTCAGGCAGTCGTTAGCGCCGAGTATACAAACGCACCTATAGATTCGATTGTTGTCAATAACATTCATACATCTAAGCGCAGTGCATTCTCGCATTCTATTTTGTTGTCTACGGCGTTAGTTGAGATAGCGGACCGGTTTAAGGGATTTCACGTAGCACGTGCGCTCCTCGATAACGGTAGTCAACGCTGTTTGATTACGGATTCGTTATGTAAAAACTACACCTTCCATTAGTACAGTCCACTCACGAAATACGCGGCGTTGGTAGTTCTGTGATACAATCAACAAACAATTGCGATGTAACTATTCGGTCACGATACAATAATTATACTAAGCGCATCAAGTGTATTGTTTTACCGAAAATTACGTCTGAACTACCGACTGTGCCGTTAAATCGCGATCAATTTGTAATTCCAAATGAATGTCAGCTAGCGGATCCTTTATATTATGAAACGCAACCCATAGATATATTAATAGGCGCAGACATATTTTGGGATTTACTCAAAAAAGACAAAGTGCGTTTGCGCAATGGACCTTTCTTATTAGATACGAAGTTGGGATGGGTAATTTCGGGACCTATCCACCATGAGACGCGTAAGGATGGCAGCATTATCCATTGCAATTTTACTCAGTCCATAGATGCACAACTACGTCGGTTTTGGGAACTCGAAGAAGTTCCTAAAATTCATGACTCACGCACGGAAGAGGAGAAAGTCTGCGAAAAGCATTTCTTAGAAAATACAAAGCGCGATTCTAACGGACGGTTTATCGTAGGCATACCTTTTAAGGAACCTCCTCAAGTTTTAGGGACTAGTCGGGAACAGGCTGAACGTCGTTTCTACGCATTAGAAAAACGATTACAACGCGACCCTACATACAAACAGCTTTATTGCGAATTTATGCGCGAATATTGTGCTTTAGGCCACATGTCTCGCGTACACACACACTCAAATCCTCATTATTTTATGCCGCATCATGGTGTGTACCGCGAGCACAGTACAACCACAAAACTGCGTGTGGTTTTTGATGCAAGTGCCCCCACAACGTCTGGCAAGTCGTGTAACGACATTCAGCTTGTCGGACCGCCCATACAAGGGGATCTCTTTTCTATACTCTTACGCTTCAGGCAGTATAGGTATATAGCATGTGGTGATGTCGAAAAAATGTATCGACAAGCCCTAATCAGCCCTGACCTTCGTGATCTACAATTGATACTCTGGCGCGAGGATCCCTCTCAACCCCTCGGTGTGTATCAACTCAATACCGTCACCTACGGAACAGCGTCAGCACCATTCTTAGCAGTTAGGTGTATTCGACAACTCGCTGATGAGTGTGACGATACTGAGGTCAGCCACTCTATATGTGAGGATATGTATGTCGATGATTATATAGCGGGTCGGGACAATAAACACGAATTATTGCAATTATGTAGCAGGGTCTCCAATGTCCTGCAGGGCGGGTGTTTCCCGTTACGAAAATGGACTTTCAACTTTAACTGCGATATATCACAAACTTCATTAGACATTTCAAAATCGTTGTCACTTGCTGAATGCATTCATAGTAAAACATTAGGTTTAAATTGGTACAATTCAACCGATGAGTTGTATTTCACCACTCAATTAGTTGCGAACAGTGACCAAATCATCACGAAACGACTTATATTGTCGTCGGTTTCACAAATATATGACCCATTAGGATTACTGAGCCCTTTTATAATGATTATTAAAATTATTTTACAAAAGTTATGGTTGTTAAAATTAGGATGGGACGATGAAGTATCGCAAGAGGTTATTAAAATTTGGCGTAAGTTCGTTAATGACTTAGTATTTCTAAATACTTTGCGTGTGGAACGACACGTTATACCAATTAAACCTATGTATTTGGAAATGCATATATTTACGGACGCCTCGCAGACAGCGTATGGTAGTTGTGTTTATATACGCGCGGTGAGTGATAGCGGAACTATATCGGTTAGGTTACTATGTTCGAAGGGTAAGGTGGCACCACTTAAACCTGTAAGCATACCCCGATTGGAGCTATGTGGTGCATTATTGGGCGCTAAATTATTTCACAAGGTTAATGAGTCGCTGCGTTGTAAATTCGAATCGGTAACCTTTTGGACGGACTCGACAATTGTCTTAGGATGGTTGCGAATGGCACCTAGTTTATTACAAACTTTTGTTCAGAATCGTGTCGTCGAAATACAGGATTTAACTAAAAGTTTACCATGGCGTCATGTCAAAGGTAAAGACAATCCAGCTGACTTAGTTTCGCGGGGTGTCAGCTTAGATAACTTAATCTCCTGTGATGCGTGGTGGCATGGACCACTTTTTCTTCGCGATATCGAGTTTGATAGTAGCGCTTACGTGACGTCAGAACCAAATATCCAACATGACGAGTTACCCGAATTAAAACCAGTAAAAATACATACTTTTACGTGTAATAATAACAATTATTCAGATAATACGCTATTTCCATTTCATAGATTTTCTCAGTTCCACCGTATGATACGTGCATGCGCATACCTACTACGTTTTATTTATAATACGCGCAACAAAACCAACAGGCGTAGTGGAATTCTCACTGTGGAGGAACTGAGACAATCAGAATCAGTTTTAGTCAAATACAGTCAGTTAGAATCATTTCCAAATGAACATAAAATATTAAGTAATAATGGCTGCTTAAACAACAAAAACTATTTGTCAAAACTTAATTTATTTATTGACAATCAAAACATCATTCGTGTAGGTGGCCGCATATGTAACTCTGTGTGTTTTACATTTAACAAAAAACATCCTATATTACTCTCCAGTAAACATTTGTTTACCATTTTGTTATTTCGCTTTCATCATAAAAAAATGTTACATGTGGGGCCCCAGACACTTCTTTTTAATTTAAGAGAAGCATGGTGGCCACTCAGAGGTAGAAATCTAGCACGAAAAACGGTTCATGAATGCGTTACTTGTACTCGTTTTAAGGGTAAAACATTTACCCCACTCATGGGTGACTTACCCGTGGAAAGAATCACTGCTAGTTTTCCTTTCTACAATTGTGGCGTCGACTACGCCGGCCCCGTGTACATAATGAGCCGCAGAGGTAGGGGGGCTAAGACGTTTAAGGCCTATATTTGTTTATTCATATGTTTTGCTACGCGCGCTGTACATTTGGAATTGGTATCCGATTTAACTTCCGAAGCTTATTTACTGGCACTTAAGCGTTTCATATCACGTCGCGGAAAACCACAACAGATATTTTCCGACAACGGAAAGAATTTTGTAGGCTTAAAGAATGAGTTTCAAACATTTTTGAAAACATGTTCTTTAGATATTGTAGAATACGCTAATAGTGAAAATATTCAGTTTAAATTCATTCCTCCGTATGCCCCTCATTTTGGTGGTTTATGGGAGGCTGGCGTTAAATCTTCTAAGCACTGTCTCATGAGGGTTATAGGTAATGCACATCTGACCTACGAAGAGTTCAATACAGTACTCACACAAGTTGAAGGTATGCTTAACTCTCGTCCGTTAACACCATTGTCTACTGATCCAAATGATCTCCTTCCTTTAAGTCCTGCTCACTTCCTCATAGGCCGTCCGATTACTTCTCCATTATGTGCTCACCCAAAGATAGCTGAAGATGACATGCGCAGACTTCCTCGCTATCAACGAGTTGAACAAATTCGGCAACATTTTTGGAAGAGGTGGAGCACAGAATTTATTTCAGAAATGCAAATTCGAAGTAAATGGAATCACAAATGCAGGGACTTACAGCAAGATACACTGGTCATCATCAAAGAGGATTGTACGCCACCGATGAAGTGGCAACTTGGACGCGTTGTGACTACTTATCCAGGCAAGGATGGTGTTTCCAGGGTGGCAGATGTACGCACAGAGAAGGGCATTGTGAGGCGAGCATTCTCAAAACTCTGTCCTTTGTTCCCTTTGGAAGCTGCTTCTTCCAAGGCCGGGGGCATGTCTACGCACCAATCAACGCACGTGTAAATGACGTGATATGTGTTCCGCCAATGAGAGACGTTTCTACACAGTGACCATTTCAAAAGGGATTTATAATGTACTGCTTATATACTTAGACTTTTGTAACAACCGCACGTTAAACATGTTTGCAATGTACATATGTAAATTTTGATTAATTACACAAGTTCACGATATACAGTCTTACGTCTCTTTCTTCTACGCACCCAACGCAACAAGCTATCGAACGAACACAGACATATATTTATTGCATAAAAACTGTGTACGAATAAGATTGTTTTTACATATTGGTAACAGGCTCAACGGTTGTCCAGTTCAGGTGTTGCAAATCAAATTAAATAACATAAACAATTGTTCTGGCTACAAGTACACTATTTTAGCATCAAAGACTATAAAACACATTGTTTGTAAACCACTTTTTCAAACTAAGAGTATTTCTGAACGGAACTTTCTCTTACTTCTCTCTTAATTTACAGGTGGTTGGGCACAAAATGGGCAGTATGCCTGTCGCTAATTACCTACATGCCTTTCATAGCTTGTCAAATATATCCCAGTTTCTACACCCTGGTCCCTGCCGGTCTTCTATTGGGTCTCGGCGCGGGACCGCTGTGGTGCGCCAAGTGCACCTACTTATCATTGGTAATAATACATTTTGTTTTCTTAGTTAGAATAGTGTTTTGTTTTGTATTCACATTATTAAGAACAAAGAAAAATATTCGATGATTAAAGTCCAGGGTAAGGCAAGGGTATACAATTATTATAATCGGTATTCGGCTATCAGAGTCACGTGATGTGAATAGGCAATTTGGGTTTATATTCAGCTGTTCACTTTCGCTAGATTTTTTCTTTCTTTTTTGATGTTTTTAAGAAAATAGAGAAGGTAAATACAACACAGAATTAACTAATTAATTACTTTATACGGACCATTACTATAACGGCTGTTACCAGTATTCAGTAATATGGGTATACTTTACTTGCTTGGAATTTCCTTTTTAGGTTACACTTGGTTCCCCGGCTCGAGTCGGTTCGAGTCCGACATAATCACCCCTCCGGTCATCCAGTAGAGGTTATCCGATGGGGTTTCTGCACGAAAAAAAAGGTAAAATACTTATATGTATTTTTTTTTGTTGCAGTATGCGGAAACACACAGTTCACTATTTCAAATACCAGCTGGAATTCTTCTACAGCGCTTTCTTGGATTCTTTTTCATGATCTTGCAAATGAGCCAAATATTTGGAAATTTGATTTCGTCAGTTGGTAAATAATTTAAGCTTTAATTTCTTGTTTTTTTGTGTCTAAGATATGAACTGCTCACTTAATAATGTAAAAACTTCCAATAATGCTATTTTCATTATTTCCAGTGCTATCTACAGGTAACACGGCCTCAGTGACTTCAATAAATGCGTCAATGATTCCACAAATATGTGGTGCCAATTTCTTACCCGACGCGGATGCTGCTAAAGCTCTACCCACACAACCTACTGAAAAAATATTCATGATAACAAGTAAGTATCGGCCTCCAATATGTATAGATATTGACAAAAGTACCAAGTCAAAGTTAAAAAGCAGGTTTGATACTTGATTATAATTATTTGACTTTTATTAACTTTTCAACAATCACATCATCATCACATCAACAGCCTTTAATAGTCCACTGCTGGATATAGGCCTCTCCTTAGAAAGGAGGTTTTGGCCTACTATACCACGCTGGCCAGACTGGTTGGTATAGGGTTTAGGTCAAGTTTTCCTTCTTTTTGCAGTTCTTGTTCTTGTTCTTTTTTTTGTTCTTTAAAAAAGACAACTCCCGCATTAGGAATATATCCTGTATCGCGGGGGACTTTACAAACATACATGAAACGGAAAAAAACACCCAGACTCAGAACAACAATTTGTGGATCACACAAAGTGTCGTCCCATGTGGGGTTTGAACCCACAACACTGTCTAATAATATTGCTCTATAATTTTACACAATTACAGATTGCAAAGACATTTTAGATGGTTGTTTAGAGCGTAATTATAACATTTATTGTTACAGGTGTTTATCTTGCGTGCATGGCCGGGGCCGCGCTCATTGTTGCCTGCTTTTTAGATTCTCAGAAGAGGTAACTTTTCTATTTTAAAACCTTCTAGATGATTGGATGGACTCACTGACAGTTGTATTTATTTGGAATTTTATTAAATGTAAAATGTTATTTTCATCTGTAAGTCTTTTGTTATACATAGGTATCTAATCCATCAGATAGTCAATTATATTATATAAATATAACAGCAATATAGTCAAATTCATTATAAACCCAGTGCAATCATCAAATAAATAATAATTACCTTTATAATAAAGATATAACAATAGAGTCAATTTCAATATAAAACCCTAGTGCAAGCAATAATTACTTAATATTTAAATAAAAAAATATTGGCTATGTGTACAGATTAAATACATAAATAATACATTTATGAAAATAATAAAAAATGTTCCCCTCTCTCACTCTCTCTCTGGGACCCTACTCTGGGAGGACTCGGACCATGTTATTTCAGGTCCTCCCTGAATTGAAACCATTTCGAATCAGGTTATTGCAATCAGGCCGGCATCCTATCTCCTACCGCATCAATAAATCTGCCACCAGAGGTCCCCACTATTTAGCGGCCCGTGGCCCCGTCGACGTCTGTTATCGTCGCCGATGTCCTCGGCAGTTGGGATCAGCCCTCTCCCGATCCCGTTCAGCGTAATTGATACCATAATTGATATCTAGCTTAAATTTTTACCAACAGTAAATTTACATTATGGAAGCAATAAACTAGGTATTGAGTACATTACTTAGTACGAGTAATACTTTGGCAAATTTCAGCTATTTCTTAATCTAGAAGAACTTATTTAAATTTTTGTTCGCAGCAACGAGTCTTGTCGTAAGGGCGCTAGTACTAAACTCTCTGGGTTTGCATTACTAGCAGTAACTCTGAAGCATTTAAAAGAACCCAATCAGCTCTTGATTCTTACCATCAATGTATACAATGGCCTTAATCTAGCATTTTTTGGAGCCGATTTTACTGCCGTACGTAATAACTTATTCCTTAGTTGTATAAAGAGTTTTTTAAGAGTTCATTTTTACATAAGCGTATATTTTTAATTGTTGAATATAGAAATATTTTCTTATGTATGAATGATTAGTTATTAAACCTTAGCATACTTTGTTTCAGTCTTTTGTATCATGTGCAGTTGGCACAGGCTTTGTGGGTTACGTCATGATGTTATTTGGACTGTCTAATGCTGTGTGTTGTTTCATGACGGGCTATTTGATCAAGGTATGTATCGATGGTATATCTTCGCTATTCCTGGTTTTGATTCATTAGGTGATCGAGCCATAAGTTACTATGATGCTTTGTTTCAGTTGTTTGGACGTCTACCACTAATGCTCAGCGCAATGCTTGTACATGGAGGAATATATTTGACCATGCTTTTGTGGCAACCACACGCTGGAGATTATTATAAAATGTTTATTATTTCTGCACTGTGGGGATTCTGTGACTCCGTTTGGACGGTACAGATAAATGGTCAGTAATAGACGTTGCAAGATACAAAGTAGAGCTTAAGTGGAAATTTGTCTCTTATATTCTTTTGAGATAGAAGTAAATAAGCATTGGCAGATTTTGGAATATATAAGGTACATTCTGTTTTTTTTTCTTAAGAAATAAGGTATTAATTGCCAAATTTTACAGCTTACTACGGCGTTCTGTTTTGCGGCAAAGAAGAAGCAGCGTTCGCAAACTTTCGGCTTTGGGAAGCTTGCGGGTACATCATCTCCTATATTCTCTCTTCTTACGTGAGGACGCGCTACAAGATTTACTTGCTTCTCGTTACTTTGATATTAGGGATGATAGGCTATTTAACAATAGAGTATCGGCAGCACAAAAGCGATAGAAAAATTGAAACGAAAGGCGGAAAGTAGAAAAGTTATTTATATTTATTTAGGATCTATCCTTATCTGTTATTTATTTATAATAATATTGCATTTCCTAGTTAAGTCAAAATAAATATAATTGTAAACAATGTTTTTGTGAAGATTACGTTTTTCATTGAAAATAAGCTTGGACCCTACCTGTGTTATTTTTTTTGTTTGCGACATTTTACCCATCCCTTTCCTGCAATCTATGGAAGTAATTTCATGTGATAGGACGGAAATATGTACATAGCAAGAAGCGTGCGCGCAATTTGAACTGACTTAATATATACCATGTTTTAATTCTAAGTAAATGAGTATTTTTACAGATCATTTTAAACAGTCAGTATAAACTTTTCCACAATATCGTACGAGTAAATGTTTTATCCAAGAGTGTCATATTTTATAATAGTATTATCTCAGGTAAACCTAGTGGTCGTGTATCAGTAGAATCTTGACCATATTTAAAAAAAATGTTACCAAAGTAAAAGTGATTTAACAGCTGTTAGAGAATAAAAGATATTCGGTCCGTAAAAACAGTCGAAATATAATTACGGAATTGTTTTGTGTAAGCCTGTTACATATAGTAAGACAGAAAGTAAACCTTACTATATTGTAAGCAATGACTATATAGATAAGATTTCTTACAGAGCTGGCCGAAAAAATAATAAGCCTCTAATGCTTACAGGATTCTGTATGTGAGTTTCTTTATTTTTCAGTCTGTGTGCAGTGCAACCTGACCGAATCGTGCAATTTAAAGATCTGTAATATCCATTATAATCATCCATATTTCATCTCTACTAATAATATAAATGTGAACGTAACTCTGTCTGTATGTCTTACGATTTCACGGCTAAGGGCCTGAACCGATTTTAATGAATTTTGGTATGGAGATACTTTGATTCCTGAGTAAGGACATAGACTTTTTACAGCAATAACCGACATACACACTTGCGAAGCCAAAAGTTTGTAAGTGATAATGATTACATATAATGAATACAATTAGAACTTAGTATAATATCTTTTTACCTTCATAACTACTTTACGTCTGATTTTACTACCAGGTAGCTGTCTATACAAAGAGTAACTTAGGCTTTTTTCCTGTCAGAAATCCCCTATAAAAATTGTCCGGTCCGGGCATCGAACTCGAGTCCTCATAGACTGCAGTAGCTTACCGTACTACACCACTAAGGCAGCGCTATTCAAATTCCACTCGAACGAAGTCGCGGGTACCAGCTGGTATAAACTAAATAGACTAGAAACTAACTAGATCACTAAATATAGCCGACTGTGTTTCCTTTAGCTACTGGTTGCTTATACGAACTAAGCCTTATTGTCACTTATCACATGATGTCACAGACCCACTTAATTATAACGTAGGCTAAATAGATTATAAACTAGTTAGACTACTAAATATAGCCAACTGTGCTTATATGAAGTAAGCCTTATTGCCATTTATCACGTGATGTCGCAGACCCAGATAATTATAATATAAACTAAATAGACTATAGCAGAGGCGTAGCGTGGACTAATATAGACGTGGGCGAAGTCACATCAGCGAGGTCCCTTTTCCTTCGTTCCCAAGACATAGGTGGCCAATATTTCTATTTTACCAAAACATACTTTGATGATAGTGAAAAAAGATGGAAGGTATTGCTAAGGCAGGTAGTCAGATCTGCTTGATACTGTTTCTTAAGTAGTTTTAATCATTTTTTAGCGGAAACTGTACTGTACCTGACGTCAGATACGTTTCTATAATAAGATTCTATGTCATTGCCACAGAAAAAGGAGTAATATCTTTGTTCTGTGGTCTTTGCATTCTCCATCTTGAAGTACATACAGTACTACACCTTAATTATTCCAATTCTTAAAAAGCTCGTTATTTAGCAAAGGTTTTAAATTATTTATGTCGTACAAGAATTCAAAATTTGTTGTTGTATCAGTAATATTCAGTTAAAGCAGTAAGTCTTGTGTTAATGTCAGAGTCGGCGAGAGTAGTGTTGGTCGTCTGTCTTGACATAGTCAATGCTTTGGGCCTCCTCCCGTGGTGGTGATTAGGTAGGCGTTGGTGTATCACCAGTTACTCCCCTACCCGCGGGATATCTTGGATCGAGACGGCAAAGAATGTTAAAGGGAGGTTGCAAGTAGAGTTCCCCAGGCGTCAGTCCTAGGACCTCCTCCTCTTGAACCTAGCGTACAATGCAGTCCCGAAAACTAGTCTTCCCATAAAAGTTAGTGTCGCCTATTCTGCGGAGGAGGATTCAGAGCTGGCCGAGTTAGGAGTAGCTTGTGTCGTCCAAAAGATCAGCGATCTGAGCCTAGCGCGCTATATAATGAAGAATGATGAGAATTTTGAGCAGATATTATCTCGAGTTCTGCTTGTGGCGTTGAAAAATGGCGGCAAAATGACATTTTCTTTCGAATTCCGTTGTTTTTTTCAATGATTCATTTGAAAGTTTAAAGAAAACTTGCCAGTATATATTTCATATAATAAAACGGCAAAAACTTGAAGAATATCAATCAAGTGGGCAACAGTTCCTTTTTTTTTGTTCAAATACGTACTTATTACATTAAACTTAGGATTATTTTTATTACTCGGATATCCTTTTTTTCTTTTTCTTTTAAAAAGACAACCCACATTAGGAATACAAGTATATACTTATAAAGACTTTTCCAAGTGTCTCAGTATATAGTTAAGCTTGATAACATTATGCAAAAGACACATGTGACTGACGCTGAATACCAAGTTAGAAGTGGTTTTTGGGCCAATGAAATACTTTGGTAACCAGTAAACGATTTACACTCTCGCGACTGGTGGAAAAGATTTTGTCACTCTAAACAACTTTCATTTTGGTAAATTTTTGGCCGAACGCGAACGAGGATTCTTTTTTGTTAATTTTTATATGTAACATGCGAAAAATCGGGCAAAATACTTAAATCGTTTTGCAAGTGCAAGGCCGTGGGCGACTGCCCACTTCGCCCACGCCTAGCTACGCCACTGGACTATAAACTAATTAGACTACTAAATATGGCCGACTGTCGAGTCGAAACAGACTGTGCTTATACGAAGTAAGCCTTATTGCCACTTATCACGTGATGTCGCAGACTCAGATAATTATAATATAAACTAAATAGACTATAAACTAATTGGACTACTAAATAAATTGCAAATTAAATAGCCGACTGTGTTTCTTTTAGCTACTGGTTTCTTATACGAAGTAAGCCTTGTTTGTGTTGGTTTTGTCTTGTTTACTCCGTACGTGATGCATGGAAGGTCACCAGATAATATAAAAATAAATTATTATTAAATAAAACTAAATATATATATCAAAAAAGTCTAGCAACATGTAGTACGGTTTTGAATTATTGAACGATTTTTACTATTGTAATATATCTGTATTTCTTTTATAAATAATGACTAAGCATTCTTTCATGCATTAGTGACTGAAGCAACACAATCCTTTATTCAATTGTTATTGTTCATTTAATCACAATAATTTACAACATGTGTACCGTAACATACGTAGTATAAAATAAAGTTCAAACGAAATAAAATATTTTCATATTTTCCAAAATTAAATAACCATATATTTTTTTTATGATTTGATAATTCAATACAAAGTGTAACCGCTTCTGTTGTTTAAATTGATGTCTTTGAATTTATAAGATTGTTTATATGATCCTGCGGCGATCTATTTGGAGCATGACCCATGCGTTATCGTTCGGATTGAGGTCTAGCGATTGTGCAGGCCTCGGCAATACCCAGATGTTTTAAATTGCCAACTACTCTCTTATCGTACGAGCTATGTGCGAACGCGCATTGTTATGCATCAGTGCGATATCTGAGCCAAGACTTTGTGCAAATGGGTGAACATAAAGCCCGAAGACATTCTCAACGTAAATTTCAGCGTTCATATTGCCATCTACAAAAACAAGCTCAGTTAGCCTGTACGTCGTATTACCCGGCCATACCATCACTGTGGAGCTACTGTGAGGGTGAACTTCCTGGAATCATCTCAGCCATTCAGCATTTCCGATATGACGATACATTCTTACCCTTCTCGCATCAGGCCTTCCAAACCGGGACTCATCACAAAATAAACTTTTATTCCATTGCTTCTGGGTCCATTTCAAGTGTTAACCACACCTTTCCTTTCGACATCTTTCCTTTTAATTGGGCGTAGTGCTTGTAGGCCGTATTCGTGTAGCCTATTTCTCACGGTTTGGTGGGTAACAACAAAACCACTTGAGAATTGTAGCTTTAAACGTATCACCCGGGCGGTTAATATCGCCTGACATCGAGCAATCAGTTATATGTATCGGTCCTGTCGAGCAGTTGTACTCCTTCCACATCCTGGGCGCTGCTCAGCAGGATCGCCTGTATTAACATAACGCTGCCAAAGATGACAAATCACGCTCCTATTGACCTGGGACTGAATTTTTTTCCGCTTGTAGTATTTCTAAAACTTGCTGGATTTCATCAGCAATCAAATGGCCACGCTCCATGACAATTTTTTTTTTAAATCCATTGACGGTTAAAACGTATTCGAAAAGGATAAAATAATTTAAAAACCCCCGACTTAACCAGATTATAAAACGAAAGATTATGATTATGTATTCTGATTGAATGAGTAGTGAAGGATTGCCGTCTGTAGAATGGTGATGTCAACAATAATTGCACGACACTGTATGTAGGTCCGGCATAATTATATCAGGCTTGTTGGCCAACAGCTGCCCTGTCAGTGACACAAGATTGATCCCAGTACAATGTTGACTTCTTTACCGGGGGGCATAAAATTTAATTACTGATGAATGTTTAATGGAACATTCAGTACAAGGTAGGCACTATTTGAGCTCCTCTGCCTAAGATATATAGTTTAGTCTGAGTTCATCTCTGTATGCCAAGGATGTGGGCAAGGGCTCTTATGACATATCGTTTCTTTTTTTAATTTCTTTATAAAAAGACAACTCGCGCATTAGGAATACTCGTATATCCTGTGTCGGACTTTACAAACATACATGAAACGGACACAAAGAACACCCAGACTCAGAACAACAATTTGTGGATCACACAAAGGGTCGTCCCATGTGGGGATCGTACCCACAACACTCAGCGTAGTAGTGTACGGCGGCTCAAACCACTACGCCATAGGTGCAACTATAGTTAAACCGCCGTAAGCTTGGCCCTCCTGATGGTTTGCGGGACGCGGGGCTGGTGATGCGCTCGGCTATACATGACACGATGTACTAACTCGATATCTTCAGATTTATTTGTTTGAGATTTAATCTACACACGATGTAATAAAAATCGAATTTATTTCCATGTATTATAATGTCAGTGTATTGTAAGTTTTTATGATTAATTGTAAAATTTAATACTGTAAAATAATTTTAATAAAATCACCTTATCTTCATCATGTCAATTATATTCAGATACAATTTAAAAATTAAGTAAAATAATAAATATTCTTTATTAGAACTTTAACAGTAGAACCTCTGTAAGCCGAACTTCAAGTTTTAAAATCATGTGTGACGCAGAGTCGACAGATTATCCATGTTGCAAAATAATACCGTGTGTAGCAGTCTTAAGAAAAATAACATGTACGGCCATACTTTCACGTCAGTCACTGCCGGCGGACAGCGACGCACTAGCTAATTGGTTGAATGCACCCCCGCCCCGCGTCCCCCAAACCATCAGGAGGGCCAAGCTTACGACGGGTTAACTATAAAAAGTTGTCGCAGCAGCAGTTTGTACCGTATTATAACGTCACAATTGACATTTCAGTTTTATTCAAGGAGCCAAAGATGTGTTGCTGTAACAATTACTTCATAGTCAATATATTTATATCCAACGTGTGTGTGATATAAGTAGTTATTTATGAGGGCGGAACATCTAAGAACTGTGGAATCTGAGAATTCTATTCTACCAGAATCTATAACCTTGGTTCTTTTTTTAAGCATAAACTTTTCATTTCTAAACAACAACTTTCATCTTTATTCATTTAATAAATTTTAACTTTACCTGGTCTGGTGTAGCACAGAGCGCTTCTTTTAAAGGCTACTTCTTATAGACTATCTGTACAACTTTATGACTCGTCCCCATCACGTTTAAGGCATCGATTTAGTCAACAGAGGATTCACTATCCAAGCCCAGGCCAAGGTGTGCCTGACGATCTCATTAAACACTAAACACATTTTTTACACTTTCTGTGTTATATCATTTATCTTTGAAGAGTTTATTTTATATGAGAAAAAGAATAACGTGAATAAAGTGATAAGGCACAAGTTTCTGTGCTAGAATCAAAATTCGATTAACAATTTGATATAGAAAGAAACAAGAAATAAAGAAAAACAATTTATTTGTGGATGTAAGAACAACTCACAATATAAGGGAAACTTAATACTAGGCTTAAACGAAAATACATTTTTACATGTAGGTACCGCACGTGCCAGTCGAATAGGACCTGGTTCAGCATCTGCTTGACAGATGTCAAGCGCCGGTTTTTACCCAGACCTTGTAATGAGTGACGGACGTAAATCGGCCTATGCAATAACACAAAATTAAATAGTTATTAGCTAAATTGAACTACACTTTAAAGAAGCAAAAGATATTAGTAATAAATTAGCATAAATAATAATATACTTAACTATTCTCACAACCGCGAAGAAGGAATGCAATAAATAACTTAAAATAATTAAGGGTTTACGTAAATAAAGTTACGAAAGTACAGGCGAAGTCAACTCTGAAGTACCCATACAATAGTTAGTCCAAACAAATAGATGGATATTGGTAAATTGTAAAGAAGTACTACGAGTCCGTTAGTTCAGTCCAAACAAATAGATGGATATTGGTAAATTGTAAAGAAGTACTACGAAGCACCTACAGTAAACGTGATTAAGAACTTACTCAATTAGGTAGTACTTGAACGTTAACTGTATTTAAGCTATCGAAAATCAGAAAAATACAATATCTAGAAATGCATTGAAAAAATTGTAATCCAATAGACATACATTCCAAACACGTTTACGAATGACATTGTTTATCAACCTCCAGAATTACTTTACAAAGTTGTTCAACCGGGTAATAGAATTGTCAATATGCTCTCAGTTCAAAGTCAGTCGAGGCGACATAAGAGAACCACTCGCTTCTAAAGTTCCCGTGCAGAATGTAAATCGAAACATAGTGTTTAATTATCATCATTAATAAGTTCTACGTTTCGGGATTCAGATTCACCACCCGGGTTGCTGATTACTCTTCAGGTATTTTAGAAAAAATATTTTTTTGAGAAACTACTGGTTTTATAGTATCAATCAATTTATATCTATAGATTAATATGATTAAACCAGTAGTTTTTCAAAAAAAATGTTAAGATGGTTTGTGTACGTTTCAATTCAATCTATCTATAAAGATTATTTTTATTTATTTTTCTCGTCAGTTTTGTTCAGTATAGTTTTAACAGCAAAAACATTTCTCATGTAAAATTAAGTTATTTAAATTAGTTTACTTAAACCATGACTGAAAATCATGTTCAAAAAACTACAAGTTTTAGTTACGTTATAAATATAAAAAATTAATAACTGATATCATGATAACGACATTGAGTTTGTAGTGACTTAATTGCGTTTTAAAAAAGTTATCTCTCGTTATTTTGCACCTTTCATGCCTAAAAAAGAACATTATATATAAAGGAAGTATAAATGGAGAGAGTAAATTTATACATAAATATATATAATCAAGGATTCTTCTTAAAGTTATTAGATACTTACGTAATAAAGAGAAATGCAAATTCCGATTAATAAGAGAAATTAGAAAAATTGTACATTTAAAGTGCTTCAGTGTCCGGAAAAAACAAGAAACTGTAATATATTTTAAGAGCACTTTAAAATTGCTAACACCTTAATTATGAAAATTAATGACACACTATTGTCAGTATGCATCATACTATGATTATTCATAGCCTGTTAATCACGTTAACTTCAGAAACCGTTCTGGCGCCCACAACTGGACCTAAAGGGTAACGGGGATTGGTAAAATTACCTACACCGATAAGACGAGAGCCTTGTGGCAATCTTAGGGTCATTTCCCTCGAAACAGGTTAAAATATAATATTGTATAATTTATTGGAATATGAATTATTCACAATGCCGTTCTTTACTGTATTATATTTAGCAAAAATTTTGAGGAACATATTTTTGATGTACATGGTTAGTGGTATAATGGGTAATATATCATTAACCTACTACATTTTCTACTATGGCAAAGTGCATATTTTAGGTTTTGGAGGACGAGGAATAAGTAACATCTCTGGTTTGATTGTTTGCAGTACTGACATAATGGATTTGTAAAATACCGATTCCGAAGGTACTCAAATAATGTATTCGATCACACAAATTGGTTAAGATATTTAACTGTTTACTTTAAAGCCAAGTTCATAATTATAAAATGACGAACGAAAAATTCTCAGAGGATAATTTGGATCCAGCAGAAATCAGAAGAATTTGGAAGAATGTTGCAGTCGTTGCTGTTTCATTCATGGTCCACTTTACAGCAATAAATGTGAGTATTGTTAACAAAATTAAGGTTTGATGATTACTGATTCTTCACAAATCTGTAATCATCAAACCTGTTGTATGTATTGTGAAGAATAGGCACATTGAAGTTGGTGATCCTTTTTTAACAGATAATTATTACTGAGGACACATAATTATAACAGACATTATGTAAACTAATACAGCTTGGAATAACTGTATGTACATTATACATTTAGCTTGAAGTTACTCAAGCTTAATGGTACAACCGTTTATTTGTATGTATATGTTGCAACCTGTAATCTAATCTAATCTTAAACGTATTTTTAACTATTTTAATTTATTGTTTTTTGGCTTTTGCAGGCTGCTATCAACTTACAAAGTTCTATTAACGCCGAGGAGGGTTTGGGTACCGCATCCTTAGTGGCATTGTTTACTGGGAACTTGGTGTCTAATATATTTCTTACGTCTGTTGTGATACGGTAAGTTATTCCTTTAACGGTATTCTCAAAGATTCTAAAAAAATAGCACTTAATGAGTTTGGTGATATCACATCTACTTAGAAATTTTGTTATTTAAGTAGAAATAAAACAATACACCATTTAGATTAGAAAGACTTTAAAGAAGTTGATACGAGTACTAATACATACCCACATGCACTATATAATGATGTCATTATATGATTTCTTTTTTTAAAGTATTTATTTAAATAATAAAACATGCTATAGGACTCCTTATTCAATCCACTACCGTAGACACACTATCAAAAATTTGGAACTGCAGTTCGTCGAACAAATGCTTGTAAATGTTCACCATATTGTAGAATAGCTATAATAATCTCTTTGTCTCCATTGCTATTTTAAGTAACAAGACTACAATGCAATTATTGTCCACTTATTTTTTTAACATTAGGCATATTATTATTACTATAACTTAATGTTACTACTAATTAGGAAATTGAGTTTACAATAACCATCTCAACTGAAAAATTACATACTGTATATTTTGTAAGTACGAAAGTGTAGTAACGGTGTTGTATAATAACTTGTATAAATCGCGTACTTATTTGTAAGACAGCTGTAGTTACTTTTGTTTTTTTTTAAAAGACTACCGCATTAGGAATATATCCTGTGTCGCGGGGGACTTTACAAATATACATGAAATGAACCCACAACACTCGACGTAGTAGGAAGTGGCGTGGCGATCGCTTAAACCACTACGCCATCCGTGCAGACGTTACTTGAGTTCCTGTTTGTTAACTCAAGAAATAAAATAAATCTCTATCTCAGAAGCTACCTACTGTTTCAAAAAAATGAAGTCGCACGTCTGTAAAAAGTCACAAGTCTATTGTAATGAATACTGTGCTTTGAAAATTAGAGATGGGAAAATAAGTTATGTCTATTGATATAGAAAAAGTGAAAAGGGAACGCAATGAAAAAATAAGAGATGGAGATTTGCGGAATGGATTGGGTGTGTTAACATTGTGTCAAGCACGTCATACTAACATACATGTAACGTCAACTGGCTGCTGCCGAGAATCATAAATTATATTTATCACAAATTTAAAATCTATACATTTAAAATATCAAAACGGCATATATCCATACTTATGTTACAAATGTGAAAGTGTTGTGGCCGCCACCATCACATCGGGGTCACCACTGTGGAGGAACGGGTGTCGGTTATGGCGCTGTAGTATGTTTCTGTTTCTTTGATGTGGGGCGCCACAATGTGTTTGTTTGTTTGTTACGCTTTACGCACTATACCTACTTTAAAAATTCTTTCACCAATGGAAAGCTACATTGTCAGCGAGTAACATACCGCGGGCAAAAGCTATTATTGAAATAATTTTATATTTAGAAATATTTGTGTGTTATGTTGTGTTATTATTATTATATATTTATGTTTCATCTTCTATATATATTTTTCTGACTTACAGATGGCTCGGTACGAAAAGAACAATATACTGCGGTTTTATAACTTATATGCCATACATAGTATCTCAGATGTATCCAAGATTTTACACCCTGGTTCCAGCTGCCTTATTCTTGGGTTTGGGAAGTGGACCCCTTTGGTGCGCAGAGAGTACATATCTATCAGTGGTAATGTTTTAATACTTTTAGGAACACTCTGTTTTTTTTTTATTGGAATCAATATAATTTATAAATCCTTTTAAAAAAAAAGTTGAACCGACTTCAAACAATACTAACAAAGAACACTAAAAATTAAATAATACTAGTATAGATGAATAGGCCAACTAAACTCACTGCTCCAATGAGACAGCGAGTTTTTGTAATAAACAAAAATTTCATCGATGTATTCAATGTTTAGATTTTTATTGATTTTCAATAACCGCTCTAATTCCAATTTCAATAACCGCTCTAATTTCAATAAAATTGAAATGGAACCACCTGAAAGGTATACCCTTTGAAACAAAAAACGAACTTACCAAATCACTTAAGACGTTTTGGAGTAAGCGGTGAACACAAATAAAAAAAAGATCTCGATGAATTTAGAACCTCCTCCTTTTTTTTAAGTCGGTCAAAAATAAAAATATTTCCCGTATTCCAGAAAACGGAAAGTTGTACCGAAAAACGAATGCTCATTTGTTTTAACGTAACTTTGTTTAGTGATCATGAAATAAATAAATAATAAAAATATTGATAAATGTTTTTATGTAGAAATCTCATTCAATCACTATTTTCCTCTCTTGCGAAACCAATTTTTAATGTACTTATCTAATATCGGTATTAATACTTAGTTAATACTTATGCAGAATAGTAATTTTCCGAGAATGTTAATTCTGAACATCTTACTTTTACACATCTTTTGTAATGAATACGTCTTTCATATGATTAAAAACATGTTGAAATCTGTTTTCTATTACAGGCATCAGAAGCTCATAGTTTGATTTCCAAAATACCTGCAAAGAGACTCTTGAGTCGGTTCTTAGGTTTCTTTTTTATGATAATGCAATCAAGCCAAATTTGGGGCAACTTAATTTCTTCTTTAGGTAATTATATTTTAAATGTTAAACAACTTCTATAAGTGGAATCTAATTTCAAAGGTTCAGTAAAGTACCGAATTATTAATTTATTTATAAAACTCCTAAATGAATAATACCACATTACAAAACATTAATATGCAGGAAAGCATTAAAATGAGATCTTAAACTTGGTAGTTTTCTTTGAGAAACAACTGTATAAAAAAACAATTTGTGGGCTATTTACAGTAATTTCAACAGCCAATAATGCATCAATGACAATAGTGTCGGAGTCAAATATTCCACTTCTGTGTGGTAGTAACTTTCTCCCTAACTTGGATGCTTCAGCCGCTCTTCCTCCACAACCACCTAAGAAGATTAACATCCTTGCAGGTAAGGATTGTCAAAGTTTGGATATTTTAAAATTAAGGTCTTCCTTAATTTTTTAGATGTATGTTTTTTTAGATGAAATATTTAACGGTTAAACAATTAATTGTACATTGTCGATTTTTGCATTACGTAGTTTTTTTAATTTTACACAAAAAAAAACTTTCTATGTATCAATTTTAACTAATATATTTTAATGCCATTACATGCACAATGGAATGAGTTATAGTAATGTCATGGTTATATATACTCGAACATGAACTTGAACTCAACACCGATAATGATTGACATTGCCTGAGTTCATTATATATATATATAAACTAACAATAGTTTTATGCATCATGATACGAGTGTAATATTGTCAATAAGTTAAACAGAAATATCCGCTTGATGTTTATTCTATTATTTTTCGTCTTCGTTTTTGACCTCCAGACTTCTACTAAGGAGAAAGTGGATTAATATTTAAGTAAATTTATCTTCATCCGTGTGAGAATCCAGATCATCCGTGTAAGAATACAGAGTGTGACCACCCTACCCTAGTGTGTGAACCCTATTCATCCCGTGGGTGTCGTAAGAGCCGACTAAGGGAGCAAACTACGCACAACAACAGCACTGCAAAAAGCCACTGCCAACACACAACTGCACGACAGAACTGCCAGCGTGGTATAGTAGGCCAAAACCTCCTTTCTAAGGAGAGGCCTATGTCCAACAGTGGACCATTAGAGGCTGTTGATGATGATTGATGAATTTTTTCTTGTGGTAATTCATTGTGCTTTACTGGTTATAAAGGTCATTGACTAGTACTAGGCTTAATATATTTTCAGTTTTACAAGATTAGTACAAACTAAACCAACGTTTTAATTACTTAGGCAATAGTTATCATTTTTTAACAAATTTATTATCATCTTTATCTGTTACAGGTACTTACTTAGCATGTATGGTTGCAGCGACAATCATTGTCGTGAAATGGTTGGATCCCATGAAGAGGTTAGACTTTATACACTGACAAAATTTACTTCTTAATCTACTAGTATTTTTAAAAATGTTGGGAACACCCAAATATTCCGAAATATTTTAATCGAATTTTAATGTTCCGATTTTTAAAAGTGCGAACTTCATAATACCTAAGAACTATTATTAAAATTTACGAAATTTATTTTACCGAAAGTCGTAAATGCGCATTTTTTGTTTAAAAGTTATACGTTCGAAGAATCAAATGCTCGTAGGGTTCTCGGTCTGAAAAACGACATTCCGATTTTCATTACTTAATATACTAAATAAAGTGCTAAAATTAGGATTTTGATTCTGATTCGGTTAGTATAATGTTCAGTTACGAAAATGTATTCAAAACGTCTACTTTATTATTAATAATAGGGGTTAAAGTATGAAATTGCCGTTGTACAGCAATAGATACATTGAATTGACATAAAACTTTCATGGTGGGAGATTTTCGTGTGAATCTTTTTTCACAAATGTATATTAAAAATATTTGACTGACGGATAAAGTTTTTCGTATTTCTGTAGTGTACACAAACCAACATAACATTTATAGCTATAAATATTATGTTGGTTTGTGTACGGTTCAAAAACTCAAAAAGTTCTACACCGATTGAGCTCAAATTTTGACACGATATACAACACGCTTCAAAGACGGTTTTATTTATTTTTTAAACCACAATATGCCTCAGCAAGGACTGGCAGGGCACAGTTAGTATTAATATAAGTAAATGCCTAGTTTATCTTTAATTTGTCTCTTTTTTTACCAGTTAAGCAATTTAGACGTTACACGAGCTCATATTTTTCACTCCATTGTTTTCCATTTGCTTTTTATGCAAATGCTTTTTTCCAACTACTAAGCCCACATCGTGCAATGAACTTTCATTTTCGCTTTCGATTTTAGATGTCGATTAGTAAATTTCTCATTGTGTTAGAGGGCCATAACTATTCCTCTACAATTGTTCTTAGTATGTTGCTTATAAATTCATATACATGAGCGTGTTGTATGTATAATAAAAATATACCGCTCTTATTGGCTCATTTTCAATTTACTTAGGTCAGTAAGAAAGCCTCAATGATAAAACCACTCACTGAATCTAAATTGAATCTAAATGGTTTTCATTAGTCCTAATGGTTATAGGAAGATTATTACTTTGTAACGTACAAATCATAAGGATTATTAATAAAAAAAGCAAATAATCATGTCTATATTTTTATTATAAATCTTGTTTTTACATGCCTATTTAACATACGCATGCATTATTGATGATGATATAAATATAATGTGTTGTCAGAACCGTGTAACGGCCTTAAGGCTTATATTTAGATGTCCCCTTGTGATGTAATAAAATTCATGGATGACGAATTTTATTATTAAAAGTTTATTGTACATTTTGGTAGCTTAACCTTAAACTATGTTTTTTTCTATTATTTTTAGTTGTGTAAGAACCTTCACTTATACAAATCTCTCAATACATTATTTAATTTTGTAGGTGTAGTTTAATATGATTATCTTGCAATGAGGGATAAAAAATACGTATATTTAGGTATATTTTTTATTCCAGATACGCTTTTTGCCGTAAGAAAACCGACAACTCACTGGCCGGGCTTTCACTCTTGACTGCCACTGTGAAACAGTTAGCGAACATCAGTCAGTTACTTCTTGTCCCTATCAGTATTTTCAGTGGACTTCATCAATCGTTCTTTTTCGCCGATTTTACTAGTGTATGTGGTTTTTATAATAGGTATTTTAATTAAAAAGGTCATTTTGATAGTATTGGTTAAATGTATATGCACTTCGAGATAAATCGTAAGTAAGTTTTGTTTCTATCTTTGTGAGGTCTGAAAATAGTCACATTACAAAGAGGGAAGGTATGGCATGAGTAGTCTTAAAGCAAATTATCAAAAACCTTGTAATTGCTATGTTATGCTTTAAAATAATATTAGGAAAAAGATGATGATGAACCACTGTATTAAACTAGTGATATGTAATACTGTGGGTACGTAATTTTAAATGTCGGTTTCGGTATCTGAATAAATATCTGTGTTAAGCACATAAGTTTTTAACGAACTCGGCTTCTTAGCTAAACCCAATGCGATGGGTGCTCGGGCATAATGCTATGGTAGACTCGGTCCTGAGTTATGACCTTGATTGCAATGGCCTCTTTCAAAGCTCATATTGAAAAACTTGAAGCACTGCAAATAAGATTCCTGAAACTATTGGTAAACAATAAGACTAAAGAGATAGACTAGAGACTAGAGAGAGAGAGAAATATGTAAGATCTAGCAATAAACAACAACAACAGTCAAGAACATATCTCTCGCAACTGCATCATGCGTATGGTATGAGGTCAGTATCAACGGGCAAATTGGAGATACCCAGAGTTTCTAACTATTTTGGTGATAGAACCCTAAAAAAACCTTTAGCTTATTTACTAAATAGTTTGCCTGAAGACAGATACCTCGAGCCAAATAATAACAAATTTAGGAGAAAACTAAAGGGATATTTGCTAAGCACACTCCCATAATGGGACTAATACTAATTCCGTACTAGTGTATTGATATAGCCTAACAAATACGCATTGTTACTTAGTAGCTCTGTGTTTATGAAAAAGCGACTCTTTCCTGCAGTCAAACTGTCAGAGCAGTTTTGCAGGGTTTTTGTTATTGTAAATATGTACGACATGTACGTTGTTGTTAATAACAATAAATGAATAGAATTTGTTCGAGCGCTCCTAAAGTCAATCAATTTTTGATCTGTTTTTTAGTTGATTTTTTTAATTTGTCCATTTTGTACATTTTCAAACCAGTTAGGATACTTTATACTTAGTAGTCATATTTAAAAATACATCAAAATGATGCAGTGCAAGAACCTACCTACCGTGCGTTGATACTCGTAGGTAGATACCTATCAACGCACAGCTGAAATCATGAAATTTTGTACAAATATTCCTCAGGTGACGTAGGTGTATTAAGAAAATATTTTAAAATTCCACCCCTAAGGGTGCAAAATGGGGGTTGGAAATGGATATAAAACTTGGTTATTGCGTTAGTAGCGTTTTTTAATAAAAAAACATTGTTACAAATTTTGAAAACTACCTTTAGAGAGGAGTGCAAGTTTGTATGAGAAACTATTTTTATTTACTTTTCGATTATAAACTCTCAGTATAAATAAATTCCCTGTACGGGATTCCGAGACGGGGTGTAGTTTTTAGTCGGTTCGAGTTCGACTTAAACACCCCTCCGGCTGTCCGGTGGGTGCTATCCAAGGGAATTTCAGTCCAGGAAAAAGGGCCGTTTATCTGTTTTGTCATCGAAAGCATACTTCAAGTTTTTTGGAAAATCACCAATGTGAAAACCCGCTACCGTTTCTTATTATAATTTCTTAAGAAAATATCAATTGTTCTGAAATTTAGTTTTATAGTAAATAATTAATAATAATATACCTCGCACATCTCACACGCGGCCGGCTGATCCCAAGCTAGGCAGAGCTTGTGCTATGGTAACCAAGACTGCATATGAAAGTGTTTCTTAACTGTTGGTATCTCAGATAATATTTACTTTTTGTTACAGTCCTTTGTATCGTGTGCGATTGGGACTGGATCAGTAGGTTATGTGATGATGGCCTATGGGGCATCTGACGTCATGGGATGTCTTGTCACCGGCTTCTTGGTTAAGGTAATAAAACATGAACAACAAGAACACTCAAATTTAAAGTCCTTTAATTTAAATAATTTGTAGCTTTTCTGTTTCATTCTTGGTTAAAGTTCCTTTGAATTCAAGCTGGCATATTTTTAAAGTAAAGCATCTTAAGTTACTAAATCAGCATATTATCAACTTATTCTAACTTATCCTATCTATTCTTAAGTGAATAAAGAATAAATCCATTTATGTATTATGACACTATTAAGACGCTGATCGAGACGATCATCACACACCGGATGTTTCCCTTCCCTTTATTCTGGTTGACTCAGACGAACTTTACTCGTGCCCATGAATTGATGCCATCAGTCGGAGCTTGACATCTTCTGACCGTTATTTAAAATAATATACTGGTCCTTACAATAAACTTTCAACTATAAATATAAAATAAAAAACTCGAAAAAAACTGTTGAAAATTTGAACTATTTTATTTATTAAAGAGTATAACTGCTTATAAGATAATAAGATAAGATGATAAGATATTATTATTATTATTTATAAGAGTATATTGTATTTGTTTGTTATTCTCCTGGTCCTGGCAATTAGTTTTACTACTGACCATGACTGACTTTCTCTTACTCCTGACAATTCAAAAATATCTACACATAGACATTCGATTTGGATTTATAGTTTATAGTGAATGATGTACTCGTAAATAATATTCTTTTTTAGTCTTTGGGTCGTCTGCCTGTAATCTGTGGTGCATTGTTCATCCACGGAGGATTATTCGTGACGTTATTAAGTTGGCGTCCAAATGCGGGAGACTACTATGTAATGTTCATCATAGCTGTGTTCTGGGGCGTCTGCAACTCCGTCTGGATGGTACAAATATACAGTAAGCGTACACCAAAATTCTAAGTACTTCAGTACATATTTCATAGTGATGTTTAGGCCCATACTAAGTATAGCTTAGTATAGCAAACTACGCAGGACAACAGCACTGCAAAGAGAAGGAAAACTTGAAATAAACCCTATATCAACCCGTCTGGCCAGCGTGGTATAGTATAGACCAAAACCTAATTTTTAAGGAGAGGCGTATGTCCAGCATTGGACTGTTATAGGCTGTTGATGATGATGATGATGACGAAGTATAGCTAGTAAAAAAACTTGTAACAACTTAAAATAAAAAAAATAAAATATTTTGTAGTTTTCAAAGCGTGGGATACGTCAACCTTATACATAAATTATATTTCATGAACCAGTTTATGAACCGGTGTTAAAAATCAGCGGCAAAGTCGCGAAATATGTTTTTCTATTAAAAGTACATGGCACAACACCTTGCCGTCGTATTAATACATAACAAATTGTATCTATTTGGCTTATAATGAAGTAAAATTACATTTAAAAACGTGTTTCAGCGTATCACGGTGTTCTATTTCGTGGCAAAGAAGAAGCAGCATACTCAAATTACCAACAATGGATGGGAACTGGTTATGTCATCGCTGCTGCTCTCTCCTCGTACGTGCGAACGCGCTACAAAGTATACCTGATTTTTAGCGTTCTGATAACAGGAGGTCTGGGGTATTTAACAGTAGAGTACCGCCAACGCAGGATAGCCTTGTACAGTAGTGCAAACACATCTCCTGACCCTGATCAAGGAGAGTAATGATGTATGTAACGTAGGAAATAATAAATACCAAACATATGTTTTACATGTGAACATGTGAATTTATATTTTAATAAAAAAAATTGCTTAGACTTCATTTTAATCGTAATCCCCGATACCTTGATTTGTAAACCATTTTATCGTTTTTTCATGAATGCTGTATTCGGTAGGCAAATTTTATAATTACTACAATAATAAATAAAAAATAAATCGTAATCATGTCATTTCGGGGCATTGTTTAAAATTGCAAAACCAGTTATGGCTGAAGGCAATTATGGCTAAAGGCAATTATGGCTGAAGGCAATTATGGCTGAAGGCAATTATAGTTGAAGGCAATTACGGTTTAGGACAATTGTGGTTGATGGCAATTATGGCTGAACGTAATTATTTCTGATTTATTTTGTTACTAGTCGCCTGCCTCACATCAACCATCACAGAACGAAGGAAGAGCGTCAATTTTGGCATGAAAACAAAAGAAATGTGACCCGAAGTGGCCTGGCTGTGTATCTATTTGACGTTCTTTAGAATAAAGATAAGGAAATAGAACAGTTTTGTGAAAGTCTCTTAGTACCTAGTCGTAGTTGACACACGCTTAGGGACCATAATTTTCTTTTTCTCACATTCGATTTATAACATTTCGGACATCTAACGCCATCTAGTTTCAAAGTAAGACGAGGTTGCACTATCAAAGCTAGATTGACTGATAGATTACTTGTAAACTTTATTCTTTTTTTAGTGCTGATTACAGTAGATTAAACTTTAGCATATATAGTATTATACACTATTGTAACTTTAATGAAAAGTAGGTCTCACGAGAGTAAAAAAAAGCGTAATTGTTAACAAAAAAAATATTTTTTTAAGCCTGACACACGCATGAAAATCTTCAAGAATATTAGCGTTTTAGCTCTGGTTTAAAATTACCATCAGAGTTTTTGTCTTAATCTAGTAAATACCTACTTAGATTTTTTATTTATTTATCAAGTTCATTGATCGTTTATGTTGATATTTTTAATTAAAATATTATTTTTTTAATTTCAAATTTTACTACGTTATATTTTTCTACTTAAAAAAAGTCGTACTCCAGTTACTTCTTACCATTTTTATTTTTTCTGCTTTTCTAATGGGCCATGACGCCTTACAAAATGGAGTTAGCAAATTTCCAATTAAATTGAGATCAAAGCAGTTTCAAAACCAAATAAAATCTTGATTTTCTAGTTATCGCATAAAACCGTTTATAATGCTGTTATTTAAAAAAGGGTTTGTATTTTTTAATGTAAGAAATGTAAGTAAGTAATGTAAGAAATTTATAAAATATCCTAAATAATCAGAAAATGTACCAATATTTATCACAATAATACTGATACCTGTTACTAAAATACATAAAAAAAAACCTTTGGCAATCTTAAGTTATACTACTAAGTAAGTAATAAAGCATGATTATGGTGTATACCTATATTTTTTATTTATTTTTAGCCTGTATTGTCCCACTGCAGGGCAAAGGCCTCCCTCTCTCAACTCCACATCTCTCTGTCGTGTGCTAGTTCGGACCAGTCTCTATATACCTATATGGCGTGTATAAATTATACTCGTAGAACTGATAACTTCGTTCGGTTAGAGAGTTCGGATTTTCGACAATAGCCAATTTCAGTTAAAGCTGTGCAACCCTGGCTTTCTCGAGTTATTTCTCAAATAGCCCAATGATTGTATCCCTATCAGCAATATTTCTTTCAAACTCAAACTTAACAACTTTATTTCATAAAATTACTTAAAAATGGAACAATCTGTTTTGTCAATTCTTTTGAAAAATGAAGTTAAGCCGATCTACAACCGCGCGTTTCCCAGGAGTTAAGGAGGAGTATGGACTATAGTACATACCACTTCTGCCTACTTTTTAATGGAAATAAGCGTGTTTCTATGTATTCATATGAAATCTAAAAAAGAACGATTTTCCGAAGATTCAACGATTAAATAAAAATTACACTACACTACATTGAATCAAAGGTTATCATAATCACTGACGGTTTAATATTAATTATCTGTTTGTTTTTGTTGAATACTAATTCGTTGTTAAGATAAATTATATGGCAGTTTCGCTAAAGAAAAAACTAGTAACACGAACTTCAGTCGAAGTGCACGGTGCTTGAAAGTGGTCGTAGTTTTGCGTTGAAAACCAACGTAAACGTTTTCATTATTCAATTTCATATAACATTGCCACTATTTTTATTAAAGTTTCTGTACACGCATACTTCTTACCTAATGGTGAGTTATTTTATATAAATATAAACAGTGCAATGTTAGTTTTTAATTTTTAATTGCAGGCAAATTTTTGCTAAAAATTATGGCATGTCATCATTGTTTGTAATGCTTTTGTGTAAAATGAGTAAAATATTTTAGAGACTAAACATTTTCGGTATCACATCACACACATCACCAGCGTTTAATAGTCCACTGCTGGACTCCTTAGAACGGAGGTTTTTGGTTGAGTGGTGCATCACTACACATTTAAAAGAAATTGTATAATCTGTAGTTAATGAAGGGTTTCGAAATATGTAAAAGATGGCTGGCCTCACTGATCTGTGAAAGTGTAATTTAAATAATTGAAATATTACGTATAATATATGTTTGATTTAGTAAAGAACTTTGTCAGTGGTAGCAGAGCGTGGTTGTGAAGAATAAAACTAAATCAACAAAATCTTCTCGTGTACGTAAAAGAAAATGACCGAAGCAAAACGTTGTATGATTTAGAGCAATTCGACGCGACAGGTATTTTTACGTGGTTGTTTCGTATAAGAAGCATTTGGGAGAATATGAGTGTGAAGAGGCTGTATCGAGTGCAGCATTTGCGAGCCGATAGGAAAACAAAAGATTGGAGGCGAAAGCTCAAAATATAATCATTACCGGCGTGGCTGACACACACATAAGAAAAGAACATACGGCATACTCTATGATAAAATGTTTGAAGGAAAACTTCATGAAAGAAACTACAAAAGGAAAAATATTTCTAAGGAGAAAGCTTAACAGCATGAAATATGACGAGAAATTATCTATGCTAGATTACGTAGCTCAAATGGAAAATATTTTCGCAATTTGTGGACGCAGGAGTCCTATCAGAACAAGAAAAGGTAAATTACTTATTATTATCAATACTAAAGTCGTATGAAATGGTGGTGACGACCTTAGACTCCATACAGGACGTGAAAATGGATTTTGTGAAAGACTCGTGCGGAGCGAGAGTGCGTGGAACTCTGCCGTCTCCTTCTGCGAGCAAGTTATGCTCGCGAAGGAGACGGCGGAGCGGGACCGGGAGAGGTTTAGAACTCTCCCGGCCCGCCAGGCCCGGGAACGGGCCAGGTACCGCAGGCGACTCCAGCGCCGGAGGTCGCAGAATGATCTCCGTCCTCCATAAGCGCATTCCTGGGGGGTGACAGGTGAGGCCATCTGTCACCCTAGCAGAAGCAGGCCGGGGTGGCGGCGAGCGCGTTGCGAAGCGCGCTCGCTTCCAGGGAGCAGAGGGAACATGGGGTTCCACACGGGGAGGATCGTCTACTCGTCTGTAGATGGCCCGAGGTATGTCGGGGCACCAGGGACTTCCTTTCTAGGGTATACCTGGTTCCCCGGCTATTAGTACCCGAGACGGCGTGCGGTTTTAGTCGGTTCGAGTCCGACATGCCACCGATAGGTGGTAACCCCCTCGGTTTCCGCACGGAAAAAAAAGGTAAAATGACAAGAGACATGACACATGAGCTAGTACACACTGATGTTGGCGGATCCATCACACCCGTAAGTAGGGATGACACATTTCATTATAATTTATTTCTCAAAAAAAAGTCTGAAGTATTTGAAAAATTCAAAATTTATTCCTTATGTGTTACTAATCATTTTAATTTGAATTATATTATTTTAAATTGAGTATACATCAGGGGAAATGCATAGATTTTGTAATGAAAATGGGATAGTTTTTCAGTACACAGTTACTTACAGTCCTGAAATGAATGGGGTAGCAGAACGTATGAATAGGACAATTATGGATACAGCTAAGACAATCCTGTGTGGTTCAGGGTTAGGAAAAGAAATCTGGGGAGATGCGACATTATATTGTGCATATGTGACCAAACGAAGCCCGACGTCAGGCAAGTATAAGACACCAGCTGAATTATGGACAGGAAGGAAACCAGATGTTTCGTTAATGAGAGTATTTAAGAGTATTGCATACAATCACCGGTGATCTTTCGGACGGCACAAGCCACCCCTAACCTGGCGAGTTCCTCCTGGAAGGCATCCCCCGCACCCTGTACCAAAGTATCGTTCGCGTAGCAGACGACACTCAATCCTGGGGAAAGGCTGGTCCTCAGGACCGCATCATACGCGAGGTTCATGAGAGTATTTAAGAGTATTGCATACAATCACCGGTGATCTTTCGGACGGCACAAGCCACCCCTAACCTGGCGAGTTCCTCCTGGAAGGCATCCCCCGCACCCTGTACCAAAGTATCGTTCGCGTAGCAGACGACACTCAATCCTGGGGAAAGGCTGGTCCTCAGGACCGCATCATACGCGAGGTTCCACAGAAGGAGTTCTAAGACCGATCCCTGTGGAACCCTTCGACATTCTTGCGGTGGAGATATGTAGTTCCTAAGAACTTTAATGCCCACCGTACTGGAATATATTTTTATGGATCATCATAGAATCACATCACATATCGCATTCTAGTGTTCATGGGCGACGGGAGTCAATTCAAACTGTTAGGTGTCATGTCGAAGAGGCACATCGTTATTGCGTCAGTAATACCCGTGATGGAGGATCGGCTCGAGAGGCAACGCGGGTACCTCTCATAACGGCTGACGTAGGTAATCACCAGGACAGGATATTTTGGGGATCATCTGTGTCTGATTCGCAAGAAGGCAATGCCTTAGTGGCACAACTGCATTGGCAAGACCATAGACACGTTACTCCACGCTGGCAGAATGCCCAGCGTTGGTGGAACAAAGGCGTGACAGCCGTCAGAGTAGGAATTCTCTCACTCAGTATTATGATTGCGGCAACTGAGCGAGAGAGCGTGTAATTCCACTGTCTCATTCTGCGAGCAAGTAATGATTGCTGAAAGGGCGGAGCGGGAGAGGTTTGAACTCTCCCGGAACGGGCCAGGTACCGACATAACCACCCCACCGGTAGGCGTTATCCGGAGGATTTCCATACAGGAAAAAAGGTGGTGTCATGTCATAAAAAATAAAAGAAAACATTAACGAATAAAGTTTTTCAGTCTTATGTTGAAAGTCCTTATGTATACGTCACGAAAATTGTTAAATAATGAATTTAATGTAAAATAAAATAGAACGAATAGACTAGTTTCCTACGTTAGCAATATTAAACTTGCCTATTCCTGTGATATCCACCGTTTATACTTATTGTCATTTAACATTTAAATGATAATAATAACAACTCAACCTCGGCGTTATCTGCACTAATAACATGAGTTTAATAAATTGATATTTTAATACCAACTTGCTAGGATCGTTGTATAAATAGCAATCAAGGGAGAAACAATGCTATTTAAGTTTTTCTTAGGCATTTGTAACCGAGCGAAACATTGCGAAAGATAACGACTACATACATAGCTGTAGTTAGGCCTAGAAACTAAGGACATCGATTCTATGATGCCCCAGAAAAGTGAAAGTGAGATGTCGAACCCAAATAGATTTTGGAGAAGCTCAAAAAGGATTTGTATATTGCGCTGGAAGGTTTTATTTTATCTGGCACAGATTTTTGAATATACTTTTTGTGTTTAATTTATTGTAGGTACGAAAGAGTACAATATAAATATGATAAGGAATTTATGCTACAAGCAGTTTATTATGTAAATTCTTCAAGGAGAACTAAACTGGGCTAAGTTTATGTTTAGATAAACTCGGACTAATTAGGAAGGTATATTTATACAAATTATTGGAGTTTGAGAGACTATTATTCCAATTAGACTTCCTATAATTTATATGACTGAAAAGGGTAAATAGGTATAAAAATACACATAGGCAAATATAAGTAACATTTATAAATACATTGTTATCGAAATATACTAAAATTTTCGAGAGACTTTCATAGTCTCTCGATTAACCAAAATTGTCAATTCTGGGTCAACCGGAAGTACCCTACAGGTTTTGGGTCGAAAACCTGTATGGTAGTTCCCGTTGACCTAGAATCACGAAATTTTGCAAAAAGAAACGTCTTACAGCACAAATAAAGGAATAATTCTGACCGGTTTAAAAAAAAAATAAGAATATTAAATATAGAAAATAGTTTCATAAAAGCAGAAGCATGGGAGTAAAATTGGAATCTGGCAAATCAACTAGTTGCGAGTTCGAGCTCCATTTAGTTCACTAACCGAGGTGAATTTATTCCTAAAAAATTATATCATCATATGATGACGACTGCACGGATGGCGTAGTGGTTTAAGCGGTCGCCACGCCGCTCACTACTACGCTGAGTGTTGTGGGTCCGATCCCCACATGGGACGACACTTTGTGTGATCCACAAATTGTAGCTCTGGGTCTGGGTGTTGTTTGTTTACGTTTCATGAATGTTTGTAAAATCCTCCGCGACACCGGATAAATTCCTAATGCGGAGTTGTATTAAAAAAACACACACATTATTTGATTGCCTTTAGTCACATGCACAGCACATGTGAAGTGACACGTGTCCGTGTAACTGGATATGTAAATTACGTGATCGTGCGGTTTATTTTATTGTCAGTTCTTGTCTTCGACCGTAGTGATTTCATTAATACATTTTAATTGTGTTTATCATTTAAAACCACATTGTGTAACTTTAATATTTAAGTGTTAGAATTAATGATCGGTAGCAATTTAATAACCTTATCTTTAATTACCATATATAAACAACTCATGTGTGGTGTGACATGATTTTATTTTTATGACAAGGTCCGCGAGATGCAAAGCACCTACTTGCCTCGATGAAATACTCACAAAACCGGTATTATTACTCATACTTGCTATCAAGATCGCCATTTTCATACAACAATTTGTTTAATTTTTCCATCCTATCAGATTTGAAAATCCTGCCTCTTTTTACATGCATGATTGCACACTTATCTACATCGAATTCCATCCTGATACATCCACTGAAGGTTTTAGTTACGTCTAGTAATTTTATCGATATGGAATATCTGAAGGCAAACATTTGCAATCATCCATGAAAAGCCTTACCACGTCTCTGAAAAAAAAGGGGTGGGAACCGAACCCACAACCTCGGGCTTAGGTCAGTCAAATTGACGTTTACACTCAAGGATCTCTTTTACTTTAGACCTATCGTTCAAATTATTAATTACTTATTTGCGACGACTAATCCATGCAATTAAGTGGGTTAGTTTGGTATCAGTACTTATTATGGAGGAACCTTTTATTAGCATTTTGCGTTGGTCTAGTGGTTAGTGATCCTGACTGCTAAGCCAGAGGTTGGGGGTTCGATTCTCACCCAGAACAAATAATTGAGTGATGAGCACGATAGTTTTAATTAATAATCTACCTCACACATCTCACTCACGGCCATCTGATCCCAAACTAGGCATAGGCTGTACTATGGTGACCAGACTGCTGATAACCATAATTATATATTTTTAAACACATTAAAGATAAATTACACCCAGACACAGAACAAATACCCGTCCTGATTATACAATGTTTGTCCTGGTGGGGAATCGAACCCACGACCTCTGCCTTTGCAGGGTCACTAACTTCTAGACCAACAGCCCAGTTTGTTCTGTCTGGGAGTAATTTATCTATAATATGTATGTATTTAGAAATATATAAGCATGTTAATCAGTAATCTGAAGGCCATTTCTCGTAATAAAAGTTCAGTCTCAATTTAGTTCCGATCAACTCTAGGTCTCAAAACTGTCATAAAAGGTATTTTCCGGTTTCTGGTTCAAGGTTGACTGTAATCTGATTATATCGTATTGTAATTAAAAATTGAATCGGCAATCTGTTAGTCTTAGTAATACATTATTATTTTACAATGAAAATACCTTTTATGACAGTTGTGATATCGATAGTTGATCGGAACTGAATTTTTGGAAGAACTTTTATTACGAAAATTGACCTTCTGGTTACCACAGTAAAGGCTATGCCTAGTTTGAGATCAGACGGCCGCGTGGGAGATTGCGAGGTTATTATAACAAGAGAAGAGCAAGCAGTATTTCTTTTACAAATAGACAGAATAATTTTGTTTTACTTTACAGGTTTGGCTGTCGCTTGGCGAATTGACCTCCGACTCCTAATAACTAGTTACTATATTGATACTAACGAATAATTTGATAAAGCGATGACATAGAGGCTCATGCTATTTACCCGTTGTATTTGAAAGTGGAGTTACGGTTAATAATATTTCACATTTAAAAATGGAATTTTCACTTCTATTTCTTTCTGGGTAGGAAAGTGGTGCAAATACTGTAATTGCGAAATATATACTCAATAGTAATTTATCGAGAGAGACACCTTCGCTTGAAAGAAAATTTGCACAAAAACTCTTCAATAAAACCCTTCCCTACAAAGTTAGGAGTTAAAGATGACGGAGCAAAAGGAATTAGAAAACTATTTGAAGCCAGAAGAAACAACAAGAATACTAAAAAATGTTGGCGTTATTTCTGTAACTTTCATGGTGTATTTCACAGCATACTGTGTAAGTACTATCAGATTTTATATTATAGTAAGCTATTTTATACACCAACGATTTAAATAACATTTATATTTATTATCCGACTGAGCCAAAAAGAGGGTTATGTTTTTCGAGTGTTTTTTTTGTATATTTCTTTTGCTTGGGAGGTTAGATTCGTCTTAATCGTGAGAGTAACACTTGGTGGTATATGAGAAGTACAGAAATTAAAATCACTGGTTTGTAAATTTTAACTATACATGTTCACGCAATCAGGGGTTTTGTATTTTTCAATGGTTTACGAACTATTGCGGTTGTTTTCGAAAACAAATTGATCAGTATAGAAAGGAATTTAGTCAAAGATAAATATTTTTACTCCCATTTCATACATATTAGTTACTTATTTTATATTACAACAATATTTAGACGGCACGTCGGCAATATTTAGACGAAATATTGCCGACATCGTTTATTTGTACAAACTATTCAATGAAAAAGAAGACAGCCCTTCCCTAAACGAAACTAACATTTCTCTAAAATTCTTTCATTTTACTGAAGCAAATTCCAAAATTCTATTCTTACACCAAGTGGAACTAAATTTCGTGCTCATTATGACAGCATTGACATTACTAAAAGTTGAAAAGGAAAGTGTTACCGTTGTTTTAAAAGTAAGAATTATTGATAATGAGTGATTTAATCAAATCTTTAGAAACGATATTTAAAAATCCTGTAATTGATTAATCAAAAAACTTAAAATATTCTGTGGCATAATAAAATAGGTATCGTTATTAACATAATTCCAACTCAAAATAAATACATAAGCTAGAACAAAAATATTTAAATAACCTATTAAAAGGCGGTGCGTTATGAGGGCTCGCGAAGTTTTCTACTTAGTAATAATTTTCAATACAGCTTTTTAGCGAATATTCTTTTAATATGTGAATTATTATGATAGGCTTCTGTTTTTTTTTTGACTAAAGACAGTACTGTTTATTATGTTTACATCGATATTAATTCTTTACTTGTCTAATAGATGGCGTAAGAAGTAATAGTTGCATAATTTTCGACAGATGGCGTCAGTAATACAATAAAATTGTAATTTTAAAAAAATTGCTCTTTTATTAAATGTAATATAATATGTTGATGTTAGATCTAGACATGAAATGAAGTTAACTATAGAACCATATCAAAGTTTAAACTTGAAAGTGTGATAGTTTCTCAGTAAAGAATACCGTAAAATAAAAATACATGGTATTTTTTGTTTATGTTCAAAAAGTATTCTTTGTGTGTGTGTTTAAAAATAATACATAGGTGTGTTTTAATAATCCAGACAAAATACATGAAAATAATATAATTGTGACTTATGATGAATTATTTTATGCTCATATCTTACCGCTGAACCGACCAGAAGCAAAATATGTAATCTAATTAAAGTAATATTTAAAGATTTTATGCTTAAACATTTTAATCAACATATTAGTTGGCATGTATTTAGATAACGTGTAATTTTAGTGTGACATTTCTAATTTTAGAGTCTTTGACCTTTAGAACATGCAACGGAATAACAAATAACCAATTATGGACTAAATTAAGTAACTTAACTAATTTTGCTTGCGTCAAACCACATATAGTTAAGTCCTACGTTTTCAGAATACGAAACGTCCTTTGACAGGACTAAACAATTTTTTAGTGATTTGTGGTTTAGTTTAGAGAGTTTTCGAACAACAGAATTAGCACCAATACCATCTCATTGTACGAAGTTCTACGAAAAATCGATTACTGTGCAGGTTTTCCGACAATGAAAAGTCCTGCCCATAGTTATAAAACTTTGCTTGTCTTCATGTAAATGGTCAAAGAACATTACTAGAACTCTGTGAAATTTGTGATATAGATATTATGTATTTTTATAAGTATTTGATTATATTATCCATGTGTATACGTTCACACAGACTATACTTGTGTGTTTAAGTATTATTATTTTTGTATTTGCTAGGACTGACGTCGTTATTTACTTACTTTTTATCGATATGTATCTGGTTATGATTCTTTTACACTTTTTCACACCCAAACCTACACCCGAATTGGTCTATTTACTGTCGATTTGTTCATCAAATAGTTGCCTGTAACAGATCGTTCTGCAGATATAAAGCCGCCATTTGTACATATTCCTCTATATTATTATTGTAAAAAAAATATTGGTGTTCAGTACAGTTTAATCTATTCTATTTTTCTGAGCCTTTGCTTGTATTCCGAATTACCCTTTATCGATAAACTGTTCACTGATAAAACCCTTCGTCCGTAGTCGGTTCTACAAATTACAGTTCATCGATGAAAGGTTCGCCGAAAACACACTTCGTCCGAAGTCGGTGCAACAAATTCTAGTTCACCGATTACCGGTTCGTTGAAAGCACCCTTCCTCAATGGTCCCTTGAATGAAACGATCGTTACAGGTTCGACTATGACATCCATCATATCACAGTTTGTGCGAAATTTACAAACCAATAGATTGCTGTCTTAATGCTTCGTGCCATACTGCACCGCACCGCACGTGCCTTCGATAATGTAGGATACTTCTATAGATATCGAATATTTGTTGTTATCTCATGTCAAGATCGTTCACGTTAGACGTCGCAAAAATCTGCATGTTGAAGATTAAGAATGTTATCAACAACTATTTGACCTTTATAAGTTTAGGTAGACATTCCATGTTTTCTTTACGGGTCCATATTGGCTCACATAAAAATCTTCTTGCTATTTTTTTTATTTTAACACCGATTTGTCTTCCTAATAATCACTCCTCATAATTTTATTCTTTATACTTTTTTGTTCATTAAATTTTATTACTACCAACGGAATTCAAAAGAGACAGTTATATTTTTTTTAACACTGTTGTTACTCAAAATATTGTTTTTTAGAACATTTTTCTTCATTAATTCTCATAATTTTCTTAGTAATATTAAGAAAATAGCATTATTAAGAAAATATTTAAACTCATAATTGTATTGTTCTTCTAAGCTATTCAAAATAAGTTTTACTTATGTCGTTAATAATTTAGTGAAAAATATCAAAAGCAAGTCAAGAATAATAACTATGTATGTTGATATCTATTTTTTTCTAGCTGTAATTTAGAGGTAATGAACAGTATTTCTATAAGAAGAGCAATGGCGTAAACTTTTTCTGTCAGATCAATAATTACAGAGATAGAGGAGTCCAAACGTTAGTTAATTATTATTAATTATTATAGACGGATGATTCTTCGCTCGTGTAATACATGTGAGCCGCCCGCTGCCGCTGCGACTTCACTCTCTCGGCTCGCGCGCTTCAGGGTCGCAGTTCTAACCTTTTTCTTTTACTTCGGTGGTACGCCCTTCGGGTGGTCACCCTACCGAGGTTTACGGCGAGGGGGAGGAGGGATGTGTCGGAATCGGACCGGACCGGACCATTTTTTTTTTTTTTTTACGTGTGGAAATCGCTCCTGGCGCGGGCTCCGTCTCAAGGACCTCTCTTTAGACGGCGTCCGGCACACACGGACGCCGCCCCTTCGCGGCTGGCCAACTAATGTGGGTGGAGGGGAGAACCCATCCCGTCCACCCGCGGCCACACTCAGGGCGGCATGAGGCGCAGGTGAGCGCGCCTCCGCCGCCCGGTTCGCCGGCGGCGGATCAGGTCCGAGTGGAGGTCGTCCTCCCGGGCCTTCTCCGCCGCCTCCTTCTGCGAGATTACCTCCTCGCAGAAGGTTGTGACCGCGGTAAAACAACTGTCGCTACCGGCCATGGAGCGAATTACGGCCGGTAGCGAGAGATCTGCTCCGATGACTGCAGTGAGGGCCCGGCGCTGCGTCGCCCATGCGGGGCAGACCGCCAGCGTGTGCTGGGCCGAATCCTCACTGCAGTCGCAGATGTGGCAGGCGGGACTCGATTCCCTCCTAGCGACCGAGTACAGGTACTTTCCGAAGCAACCGTGCCCGGAAAGCACCTGCGTCAGCCGGAAGGAAAGGGTCCCGTGCTGCCGCCCTGCCCACTCGGCGATGACCGGCTGAAGAGCCTCCACGGCGGCGAAGCCAGCACGTGGAGTCTCCAGCCGGAACGACCATCTGACCATGGTGGCTCGGCGAGCTGCTTCGCGCCACTCGCGCACGTCTTCGGGCGGAGGGTGAAATCCGCTCTCCGCCCGGAAGTCAGCCACTCGCCGATAAACTTCGGCGAGCACTTCCGCCTCCAAATCCCACGGGGGTGTTCCGGCCAAGGCGCAAGCCGCCTCGGTGGACACCGTGCGGTATCCGCGTATGGCTCAGACCGCCAATATCCTCTGGGGGCGCCAGAGGCGCGCCCTATTCGGGGCGGTCAGAGCCGCCACCCACACCGGTGCACCATACAGCGCCATGGACCGGACAACCCCCGCGTACAGCCGCCTCGTGGGAACACTGGCCCCGCCCAAATTGGGCAAAAGTCGCCCTAGGGTGGAGGCAGTGTCCACCAGCTTCGGACTAAGCTGTCGGAAGTGCTCGTCGAAGAGCCACCTACCGTCTAGGACAAGACCCAGGTACCTCATCTGGGCCCGGACCGGTACGAGGACCGAGCCGACCTCGATTGAGGCGCCGGCGGGTGGACCACGACGGGGCCCATGGAATAATAGGGCCTCCGTCTTATCCAGGGCCACCCGTAATCCCAATGCCTCAATGCGCCCGACCACCTGGGAAACTCCCGTGGCGGCCAGGCGCCGCCGCCGCCTCCTGGAAGTTAGCCCCCCGGGCCGTGACTAAAGTGTCATCCGCGTAGCAGATGACACCCAGCCCGGGGGGGAGACGCCCTCGTAGGGCCCAGTCGTACCCGATGTTCCACAGGAGAGGTCCTAGGACAGACCCCTGCGGAACACCGCACGACATGGCCCTGCGTCTCAAGACGCCATCTCGGTGGACCGGACCGGACCTAACCTAACCCAACACTCCTACCCGCTTCGCTCGTCGTCGTACCTAACGGAAACCTTTCTTAAATACATCATTTCACACAATCGAAACATTTTCAAGTGCCTGCGTTTTTGCAGGTACACAACACTACAAACAAAGTGAAGGATAACGGTTTAAATAAGACTTACATATGATTAAGAATTATATGAAAACAAATATTAGAAAAAACAAATTTTTGAAAATTGGCGTTATGTATTAGAATAATTAGGAGTTTCGATCGTTAGTATAAGAAAATATATGAAAACAAATATTAGTATAAACCAGGTGTATGATAAATAATATTATGAATTCTGGTGATTATGAATTTCGATCGTTAGTATTAAATATGTTTCTGAAGAGTGATCATCTTATATATAAGATTCTCGTGTCACAATGTTCGTTCCCGTACTCCTCCGAAACGGCTTGACCGATTCTCATGAAATTTTGTGTGCACATCGGGTAGGTCTGACAATCGGCCAACATCTATTTTTCATACCCCTAAATGGTAAGGGTGACCCATCCCTAATTTTTTTTTGTTTTGCAATACAAAGTTTGCCGGGTCAGCTAGTTATGATTTAAAATGATATGAGAAATATTTTCGGACCTCCAATAATAGGACTTAAAAAGTTATGTAAAAAAAAAAGCGCACCCCTCCTTTACATTACCTCAGTTACCCGTTATTTGATAAGGTGTTCAAAACTGTCAAATCTATCACGTTATTAAAAGTCTGTATATAGATCGTGTAAATGTTTTTTTTAGTAATTCTTTGCTTACATTTTAAGGGTTTACAGTTTCAACTTTTTGTTACATGAAACATTTCTATATGGAACCGCTGCTAAAGTCTTGCATTATTATGCAAATTTCATTCAATATGTTTTTTATTTTGGAATTGTGTATTTGTTATGCAAAACTTTGTCATCAATCAATTTTAAGCCCTTAGGAAATAAATAACTCAAAACGTTATAACAGAAATCATCTCCCCGAATCTCAAGGTTCTGGCATTCATAGCCAAGGCTCTTTTGCTGAATTAGTTACATAAATTCCCAATCCTATTTTATAACAACTCCATTTAATAACTGATAGGGGTAGTCTTGAAAATTTAAAAGAATAGATGTCTAATCATGATAATTTTTTATATAGAATATAATTAGACAGTGGAATTAAAAAAAATCCTCTCTTAGTACGTTACCTAAGGAACATTTGTGCAAAATTTTATGCTTCTTGACCCAGCGATTTTAGCCGTTCGTGGATTGATCAGCTAGTGAATCAGTCTGTCAGTTTCTTATTTAATAGATAAAGATTACTTTAATATCTTAACGGCTAAAGGAAATGAGGTGATAGATTAAAAACGATGTCATCTAAGCGGTTAAAATTACAATTATACTAGCTACAAACATAATTTTAACCGCTTACCATTTTTGCCTTTCTCTTCCTTCTTCTTATTATAGCATTATTTTCAAAGGGTACTACAAACTTACAAAGTTCTATCCATGCGGAGGCGGGTCTTGGAACCGCGTCGCTTGCAGCATTATTCTCTGGCGCCTTATTGTCTAATATTTTTTTGACATCTGTTGTTATGAAGTAAGTAAGCATGCTTTTCTTTACGCTAGAATCATTTATTAGCCTGTTGATCTAATGGTCATTGATCCTGACCGCTGAGCCAGAGGTCGTTGGTTCGATTCCCACCAAGGACAAAGAGTTGTGTGAAAAACACGATAATTTATTGTGTCTGAGTCTAATTCATCTATGATCTGTTTATATTTAGAAATGTATAATAAAATGTTTATCAGCAGTTTGGTTACCATAGGCTTTTTTTGGCTCTTGAACAGACGGCCGTGTTTGAGATGTGTGAATGTATTATTATTTTTATAATAATAACATTTTTAATATTCTTTTCATAAACATATTAATTTCATTAGTGAGTCGCAAGTTTAAGCCAAATAAATAACAAAATATGGAATCAGATTATTTTGTATACACCATATGTAAGCGTATAGTAGTTGCAAAGTATATGTATTTCTGCTTTCAGGTGGCTAGGTGCAAAATGGGCAATCTGTAGCGCTCTCACAGCATACTTACCCTACATAGCATCTCAATTGTATCCCACATTCTACACAATGGTTCCTGCTGGCTTTCTGTTGGGTCTCGGCGCTGGTCCACTTTGGTGTTCCAAAGGCACCTACTTATCGACGGTATATGTTTTTTTTTTTAATTTTTAGTTTTCATTCGTGAAACCACGGAATATGTTTTATTTCTATTTTTTGTTACAGATTGCAAAAGCCCATAGTTCCTTAACAAAAATACCAGCTGAAACACTACTGCTACGTTTTTTTGGATTTTTCTTTATGATATTCCAGATGGGACAAATTTGGGGCAATCTTATTTCCTCATTAGGTGATTAGTGTGCTGTCTTATACTTTAAAGCTTTTATATATATATTGAATGTAAACAATAAAGAGTCATTTATACTAAATACTAAAAACGTTATAAAAAGTATAACAACGGTTTAATTTTTTTAATTAAGAGTGTTTATATGTTCACTCTCTTATCTTTCAGATCAGTAATTAGATCTGTCTTAAATAAGATAATCTATGTACTAGATTACAACACTCATTTTATGTTCAAGAAAAGGGCCCGTCTTCTGTTCATGAAAAGTGTTGATCGCACACATAAGCTCCTGCCCATCTGCCATGACATTATCCAACGACGTACCATTCTACATCTTCCATTCGTTTCGTACCAGCTCATATGGCTCACGAACGGTGAAAGGCCAGTGGCGACGTGATGAATTATGGTGTTGAAGTTCTAGAGAAGCAGCAATCTACAAATTTTCTAATAATGTCTCACGTATAGACGGCTCAACTTGGTAGTCTATTTAACAACATGTTATCAAGATGCAATGAAAAAAATAATTTAATTTACGTATATTTGACTTTATACTGTTCTAGTGATATCGATGAATAATAAAGCAGCGGTGACTTCAGTAAACAAAACAATGATACCGAAATTATGTGGCGCTAACTTCCTACCGTTTAAGGACGCTCATGAGGCTCTACCAACACAGCCACCCGAGAAGATACAAATACTTACAGGTGAAATATAAATATGATTTATTGTATGTATCTGTACAGATTATTGAACCATTATTGTGCTGAACTTGAAATTTCTTTGAATAGAATAGCGGTTAATCATAAAATTAGATAAGCTCTACCTACTCTATACGCAGTAATTCAGTAAATTTTGTTGGTACCTGACAGCAATCCGAGATGGAGCTAAAGATGGATGTTCGACATTCGAAACCTTGGAATTATAAGTTGTTTTTTTATTTTTTATTTAATAAGGTTTGACGTATAATAAATGGACATTTAATGTAACTATAAAACGTACCACCTCTTGAAAACTATACACTGAAAGGTAAATCAAAAGTTGTGTTTCCTGTTGCAGGTATTTTCTTTGCGTGTGTACTTGGGGCAGTTTTTATAGTTGCTGTAGGATTAGATTCTATGAAGAGGTAACTTATTTAAAAACAGTTGTTCTTCTCCTTTCATTATCATGCTTATGTTTTAATACAACTATGTATACTGTTCGTGTGCTGACGGTTTAAGAATATGGAGTGTCACCACCCCTATTCATCCCGTGGGTGTTGTAAGAGCCGACTAAGGGAGAAAACGCTTAGTAAACTTGAAACAAACCCTATATCAATCCGTCTAGTCAGCGTGGTATAGTAGGCCATAACCTCGTTTCTGAAGAGAGGTCGTCCAGTAGTAGGGGGAAGTCCCCTAGTGACGGACACATAAGTTTTTCAGGAAATAAAATTAAAACTACATCGAGAAATATGTATTTATTTATGAATTACTTAAATTAACAAAACATAAAATCAAAATCAAATAACAAAAATACAACTTCTGCGTAAACATAGTTTAGGAATGTTAAATAAGTTTTGGTAAAAAAATAAAGGACTTTGACATTGGCACCTAGTGCCGGACGGGTTAATCTTCAAACCCCAAACGCCGGACATTCTAAAACATTGTGCATCTATCACATATGTAGGCATCTCCACATTCTGGAACGTCTGCACATGCTTCATGAGCCCATTACTGGCATCTGGAGCTTTGTATCCAGTCCTTGTCGTGGTCCTCTAAACACACTACACAAGTCGTTTTTTCTATATTTGATACTTCAGTTAACGGCTCCTTTTTGTTGTCGTTATTGCCACGTCTTCCTTTTGCCTTCGCATCTTTGGTTTATTTACTCATGGGGAATCTTCATAGCTTCAGCCAAGTCGTAAGCTAACTTCAAAAACTCGTTTTTCATCAGGTGCAGACATCTATTAGACAAATCTCTTATGTGGTCCACTAAAACTTGTTCATACTCGTTTGAGAAGGTTTTTGTGAATCTACCAACTTTTGGTTGCAACGTGACTTCTTTTCCACTGCTCAATGTCGTTATTTTATCATGTAGAGTACTTTTTGGAACATTGTAACGTGACGAAGCTGCCCTCAAACTCATTTTTTGGACAAAATCTTGTTCATCGCAGTTCTTAAACTTTGCTGATCCCATTTTCCTTTTTTTTTCACTCTTGCATTTTCAAATATCTCTCTCCTTCTATCCTGTAAAACAACAAACAATCATTATTACAATAAGTACAAATGCTTCATAAAAACTAAACTGTCCGGTGGTAAGGGACACCTTTGTGTCCGAAAGTAGGGGCCAGGGACAGGAAACGTCCAAAATTACGTATTTCATACTAAAACTGTTTAGGTATTTAATAAAAACTTTCACAATATAATAATTATAATGAAACACTGTCTTTATTAACAAATAAAAAAAACAATTAAGGATAAAACCATAGCAGTAATATTTACTTGAAATTTACGTGTCGCAACGCTTTCCCAGCAAAAACAGCAATTCACCGCTTCCACCACGACTGTGCGCCTCACTGGCAAATCGCGTTGCGTGATCCTGTCTCGCTACGTTCCCCCGCACCCCTTTCACCGATTTATAAATAGATCGCGTTGACGTTTGTCGAAATAGTATGAGTGTCCGACGCTAGGTGCCGTCCGGCGCTACGGGACTTCCCCCTAAGTTATTAAAGGCTGGTGATGATGATAATGTATACGTTCAGAAATCAACGCGATCACATAAAAGCTAGTGCATTCCCTTCAAATGATTTTTTGTAATTTTTTTTTTATTTTGCTCTTCTAAAATTCACTTATTACTTAATAAATTGTTAGCTAGGTATATGCAAGTTTGTGCGGAACCCGTTGCACGCTGGTCAGAATCGCAACTCAATGATTTCTAATCAATTTCTCTTTAATTGTTGCCAGGTATGATTTCTGTCGTAAGAACGCTGGCAGTAGTCTGTCAGGGCTAGCCCTTCTCGCGGTAACCTCGAAGAATTTAGCTGATCGCAACCAAGTGCTGCTTATCCCCATCACTATATTTATCGGACTTAACCAAGCATTCTTTGGTGCTGATTTTAATGCCGTATGTGATTTTAATAAATACTCGTGCCACCAGTATATTAATACTCGTGTACTGGATTGTAATTTGAGCCGTGTCTCTGTAAAGCTTGGTTGTAACTTTCAAAAACAGAAATAACATTTTTATACTGCGTTTGAAATTATTTTTACTAATGGTTTTTCAACACCTTTTGCTTTTTTTCAGTCTTTTGTGTCATGTGCAATCGGTACCGGTTCAGTAGGCTATACTACAATGACTTATGGGCTGTCTCTTGTATTGGGTTCTTACATCACTAGCTATGTGGCTAAGGTAAAGTATTTTTCTTTCACTAGCTCTTAAGCACTGGTTAACTAGTTTAGCATTAGTTAACTCACTCATTTTATAAAAAAGACAACTCCCGCACTTGAAATATATCCTGTGTCGCGGGGGCGACTTTACAAACATTCTTTACAAAGTCAGAACTACAATTTGTGGATCACACAAAGTGTTATCCCATGTGGGGATCGACCCTAAAACACTCAGTAGAAAGCGTCGAGGTTGTTTAATATACTATCTTAATCCTTTTAAGCAGAGGCGGTCTTTGGGGGTTGTGAGCAGGGCAATTGCCCCGGGCCTCGCTCATGCAGCAACTCACGCGACAACGGGGATTGCCCGTGTTTCATTGTCGACAAAAAGTTCCTTGGCGCTCTTTGGTCGACAGTGTCGTCTGTCGTCGGCTTATGTTCGAGCAAGCAGTATGTTGCGTTGCATTATTTGTTTGAAGTATCATCATTAAAACTAATTCCACAATGACAAGGGCCTCGCAATGATCTACCCGCCCGGGGCCTCACAATGGCTAAGAGCCGCCACTGCTTTCAAGAACCGCATCGGTGTTATAGGTTGTTAACTATTTTACTTACATCGGCCACAAAAATACTATCTAAGTATTAAATCTTGTTGTAGTTGTTTGGTCGTTTGTCGCAAATGATATCTGCATTCTTTATTCATGGAGGAATATTCATTGCAATACTGTTGTGGAGGCCTCACGCTGAAGATTACTATATTATGATTATCATCGCTGTACTATGGGGAATGTGTGAAGCTATTTGGGTGGTACAGCTTAATGGTGAGTACGTGCGATACTATTTTAAAACTTTAAGATAAGAAAGAACTAGAAAGTTAAAGGTAAAAACACTAGGTAGGTAGAGAAAAACCTCTTGGAAATGGCATTACTTCCAGCTAATGTTCTTTCCAGCTTTTTTAATTGACTAGGAGAACAGTGGAGCAATAACAATAACTCAATAGATGTTCGATTTTTACTATTCTTCAGTTTTCAAATTTATCTGTATGTATATGTATATTTTAATTTTTGAGAAGTTCATTCAAGAATTTTTGCGTCACTGCATAAAATGTACATTTTTTTTTTTATGACAAAGATACTAGATAGTTACGTACTTTTATTTACTGATAGCTATTTCCACGCGATAATGGATCTTATTTATACATAAATCAGATGAAAACAAAGATCAGACTGTTTGCATTGTCAGATCACACATAGGATTTTTTTAATGCGTCAAAAATGTAATTTAGTTTTAAAAATTTGCAGCGTATTATGGCTATCTATTTCGAGGAAAAGAAGAAGCGGGATTCTCCAATTTGCGACTGTGGGAGGCAGTTGGCTGTATTATCTCCTACGTCCTGTCTTCATACGTGAGAACGCGCTACAAGATCTATGTACTTCTGTGCTTTTTGGTAATGGGAGTTACGGGTTATTTATTGGTAGAATATCGTGAATATAGAAGAAGAAGAAAAGAGTATAAGGAAGAGCAAAATTCAAAAAACGTTTTAGCAGTGTTTGTTATCGGTGAACCTAATTCTGATAAAATTACGAATACATAGCAAAGTGATGTCGATGTGTTTAATTGGTTATCATCAACAGCCTATACTAGTCCACTGCTGGACATAGGCCTCTCCTTAGAAAGGAGGTTTTAGCCTACTATACCACGCTGGCCAGACGGGTTGGTATAGGGTTTGTTTCAAGTTTTCCTTCTCTTTGCAGTGATGTTGTCCTGCTTAGTTTGGTCCATTAGTCGGCTCTTGACACTCCGACACCCGCGGGATGAATTGGGGTGGTGACAATTTGTATTCTTAATCCGTCACCACACGGTTATAAAGTATAATAAAATTTAATTCTATTAGGAAGGTTTATTCAATAGATGAGGACTACCCAAGATCGGGATATTTGGCGCTCCTAGGGGAAGGCCTTCGTTCAACACGTTGACTGCACGTATGGCGTGGTGGTTTAAGCGGTCTCCTCGCCGCTTCCTACTACGCTGAGTGTTGTGGGTTCGACCCCACATGGGACAACACTTTGTGTGATCCACAAATTGTTGTTCTGTGTCTGGGTGTCCTTTGTGTCCGATTCATGTACGTTTGGAAAGACACAGGGTTTATACCTAGTGCAGTAGTTGTCTTCTAAAAAAAAGAAATAAAAACAGCGGACGGCGATAAGCTGATGATGATTCGAAAACCGAGTTATTTAATTTTTCCCAATAAAAGTCAGATTAACATCAGGTCTGATTGGACTTTATGTGCGGACCATTATGTCTATGAAGATATCCTTATACAGAAAAATCATACTTCAGCCCCATCAAAAAAGCTGAACTGTAATTTGACTCCTAATAATTTTATTTCAGTTATTGAGTGCTTTTCTCTTTGCAATTCGTAATGTAAGTTAGTAAGTTCACGAAATTATATCTATCTATCAGTAAAACCAAAAAATCATTTATGACGAGCCTGCTGTTCTAGCACTTAGTGATCCTGATTGCTAAGCCATAGGTCGAGGCCTTGATTTCGTCATAAGACGAATGTTGCGTGATGAGCACGGTCATTTTTTCCATGGCTGGGTGTGGTTATCTATGTATTCAGGAATATTTTGTTTATCAGACCTCTTGTGAATATAGTACAAAGTCTAGCTTACACATTAGGTAATTAATAGTATCCTGTATCCTGTGAATGCCATAAGTTTTGTTTGTTTTATATGATAAATTACTCAAATGCGCCACAGTGTGACGAGTTGTTCTGGATGATCAAAGTATGCCCTACGTATGCGCCTACTGTCAATCTAAAAGTCTGCCTATTAAAATATTTAAGGCGTAGGGTTTTTGTATTTTAATTATTTTGTTTGCGGATAAGGATTTACATTCTCACATATAATACTAGCTTCTGCCCGCGACTTCGTCCGCGTGGAATAGTTCCTTTGGGCTAACGCTAACTTTAACCCTCGACTTCGTTTATGTAGGTGAAAATATTTTTAAATAATACGTACGTTAAGGAGCTATTTCCGTTTATGCGTGCGTTTACTGAGCGTGATGATATATAGCCTATAGCCTTTCTCGATAAATGGGCTATCTAACACTGGAAGAATTTTTCAAATAGGACCAGTAGTTCCTGAGATTAGCGCGTTCAAGGAAACAAACTCTTCAGCTTTATAATATTAGTATCTATACTAAAAAGTTACAATGGAATCTATTCCATTGTAACTTTCACTGCACAATTCACATTGTGCTTTTACTTGGTTTTTACATCTAATCTATGCCTGGTTGTGGATGACCATTTGTGAAAAGTAAGTGAATATGATATTTATTACAATTTTTAATCACGTTTTTCTATTAATGCAAATACAAAAGATATAATTTGAAGGTCAAATACAAAACTAGTAGTAGTAGTAGAATTTTGTAGAGTTCAATATTCAATTAAGCAAAACAACTAGAATAATAAGCTTTATAGATGGTGTCCTTGTTTTAGTATCCACTAATTACATAAATGTTTTTTAGAGTAGGCATTTAAAAAACATATAATTTATTCAGCTTCTACTGTGTTAGCCATTCCTCTTTTAGTTTATTTTAAACTAACGTAAAATATATACAAAATGGTCTTAGGCTTTAAGCGATTGGTAGGATCATTTAGAGATCTTACTGTAATGCCTCTATAAAATATACAGCTCTATTAAATAGAACATAAAGCTGCTTTGGGTATCATAGTTTTATAGTTAGGTTTTTTTAATAATTCAGTCACAAACACCAAAAACATAAACTTTGTTTCGTCAGCAACCGCTCCTTTCATTAGCAGCCAAAAAGCTTGTCACGTTCTCACTAAGTAACAATCAACAGAACCCGCTCACTACCAAATACCATTCTATTATTTTACATAGATAAAGTCTGGGAATTTGTTTTTTTTGTTTGTATTCTGTATTGTCCTGTCATATTGTATTAATTACAGTCAATGTCTATTTTATTAATACTCGTATCTTTATCTAATAACGTGTAGGTTAGATTAGCAACACGTGAAGTTGAAACTGGAAATGCTAAAAAATACTTTTTTTATTAGATGACGAATTTTATTTTTCTTAATAATTCTAATATATGAGTCTATTTCTATGACTTAGTGACTCTCTCCCTATTTCACGAGCTATATTTGTAATCAGTGACCTGTTATCCATTTTTTTTAACATTTTATGCACAAAATTGTACAGAGGTGCACTTAATGCCATACGCGTTTCCTGCCAGTCTTTTTAGGGTTCCGTACCTCAAAAGGTAAAAAAGAACCCTTATGAGATCACTTTCTTGTCCGTCTGTCCGTGTGTCACCACCGATTTCCTCAGGAACGGGTAGATCTAGTAAGTTGAAATTTATACCAGATACTGAGGTATATGGTACCTATTAGGTGAATAAAAATCAAGGTCCTGAGTCAACACGATGAAAACATTTGGGCAAATTTCGATTTTCTAACTTGACTGACTTGTAAGTACCAAAATTTACCTTCATTTTCAACTTTTTTTCTTTTTCAGAATTTTCTCTTTACTTGTGCTGTAATACCTTGCTTTTAACCAAAATTGTCAATTCTAGGTCAACCGGAAGTACCCTATAGGTACTGGGCCTAAAACCTATATGGTAGTTCCCGTTGACCTAGAATCACGAAATTTGGCAAAAAGAAACGTCTTACAGCACAAATAAAGGAATAATTCCAAAAAATAAAAAAAAACCGGTCAGGTACGAGTCGAAATCGTGCGCCGAGGGTTTCGTACCTTCCCAGATTTTACGCAGACTTTTGCGAAAATTTGGAAGTACCAAAATTTATCTTAATTTTCAATTTTATTTATTTTTCCGTCGTACTAAGATGAGGATTCTACGTCTGGCACACGCGGACGTAGCCTTCTTACGGCTGGCCGTTATGGCGGGTGGAGGGGAAACCCGTCCACCCGCGGCCACACTCAGGGCGGCATGAGGCGGTTGTAAGCGCGTTTCCTGCCAGTCTGCCTTAGGGTGATATAGAAATGAATGATCAGGTGCACTACTCTTAAATAAGAAGTTCTACGTAAATAAAAGAACAAACGCGTTGCCGTCTGCAAAGACAGCAACGCGTTTGTCTTCTGCAAAGACAGCAACGCGTTTGTTTATTTCCCCTTTCCAGTTTGTTTGTTCGCCCTTTCCAGAACCAGGCAGAGAGAGGGTGTTGGGGTGGGGCCCTGGTAACCTCATTAAAAAATGCAATGAAATAATTTCTTGACATCAGCTTTTTTGTAAGGCCGTTGTATCACTTCGGTCGATCCGGGCACAGTTCTCCCACGGTAAAGAATAGAATAGTCATATTTCTCTTACTGTTCTTCCGAGCCTCTTTCCCTAACTTGGTTAGGGTCGGCTTAAAGTCTACTACAATAGGGCTGAGCTTCGATTTTGCTGTCAGACCAGCGGCTGCCATCAGACCTCCACAATATAAGTACTAGGCGATATCGAAGTTCTGATGTCGGTCTTTTTAGGGCTCCATTTACCCGTAACGATTGCCGCCGATGTTCGTGTGGCAACCAGGCCCGACGGCTTAATATGTTGAGAATGGTCCCTCATCCATAGACCTGGCTAGGATTGCTTATCTTAATAATGTGTTAACCAACGCGGTTATCACTTAGCCACGAGCCCCTCAACAGTCAAATACCTATTGCTGGAATTGATTGTGACGGGACTGTAAACCATTAGTTAAATTTTGAGCGTTCTAACGAAATTTTTAAGGTTTTACTTGGCGAAGAAATCACATATGTTTAATTTTTGTAGAAGACCACCATGTTCATCACCATTCAAAATGAAAAAAAACTACACTTAAACTAAACTAAAATTTAAAATTTGAATCTTAATGAACAATGTACTCTAAACTCAATAAATGGCACCCATGGCAAATAATTGTGTGATGAACATGATCTTTGTTACGTGTCTGAGTGTAATTTATTTATAACATGTATGTATTTAGTATAAATTAGCATATTAATCAGTAGTCTGGTTACTATTGTACTGGTTCTACACAGTACAGTTTGGGATCAGCTGGCCAGGAATGAGGTCAATCTAGTTTATTAGGCGACGCAGCGACGGTCTCTTTTCTTTTTCTTTTTTAACCCATTTTAAATACATTGTAGAGAAATACATTGTAGATAAATCTAAATATCAACATTGTGGAATTTACATATGAACTAATGCTTGTAATTTATGTATAAGTGATAAAAAGATAATCTTAACATGCAATAATGCAATTTATTTATTTCTTTGTTTGAGTTTATGTTTAGTTTCGTGGGTTCGGTTTTGTTTTAATTATTTACAAGGTGTACACAATTAACCAGAAAATGCAGAATGAATGGTTAACTCTTAGTGAATTTTGTATCCCACCAGCATTAAAGTGGCGCACACTTTTATACGATTGGTCACATTTTGGTTTTTAGTTTTTACCATTGGTTTTTTACGATTAGTCAAATTTTATCACAACGCCTTTCAATTAACTATCCCCGATCAAGGTAAGGTGGTGAAAAGCTACAGAAAAGGCTTGTACGATGTGCAGTGCGGAAATAGGTACAACCAGGCACTTACTGATAGGTTGTAAGGCGCTATTAGACCGGGGTCATTATTTACGTCGCCATGATAGGGTATTCCAAATCATACGTTTATCAGTCGCGAGAGCGAAAAAAGGAATAAAAACAAAACAAACATAAGAATTAACATCGCGTTTGCAAAGGAAGGCTAAAAAAAAAAAAAAAAAAAACTTCACAAAAGCCTTACTCAATTATAAATACCGCCAGTGACGTACATTATTAGTGGATACATATGAAAATCATTACAGAATACCGGAGGATTTTTGTGCCTCGGCGTCCAGACCAGACATATTTCTTTATACAATTTCAATTAACCATGTAGTACTAGTGGTAATGACCACGCTCTAAAAAGAAACAAGTACTTTGACTTAACCAACGCAATAACTAAACATGGTTATGTCGTTGCGTTGTATGCTGTGGAAGTGGGTGCGAAAAAAAAAAGGGGTATACCAGCTAAATCCCTCTATAACCTGCTTAAAGACCTTGGATTGCCAAGAGACCGCTTATGTGTTTGATAATTATGTTGCGAGATTGCAACCGTTTATGTGCATGGGTAATTCTTAAAACGCATGTAGTAAGTAAAATACAGAAATACTTCAGGTTTTAATATAGATTCTAGAATAAGCTTTTAACAAGAAATGTGTCAAAAGAAAAGCACAAGGAGTTATCAGAAATGCTTTTTTTTTTAGAAGTTTTCTTGTGATTACAAACTTATATTTTGCAGTCAGGAATTGACTGTTCATGAATTTATCAATAGCCTATAATAGTCCACTGCTCGACATAGGCCTCTCCTGAGAAAGGAGGTTTTGGCTTACCTCACCACGCTGGTCAGACGGGTTGGAATAGGGTTTGTGTCAGACCGCCTCGGGGAGGTGTTCGACGCTAGCTTGGCGTCGGGACGTTTCCCTGAGTGCTGGAAGAGCGGGAAGCTGGTCCTATTAAAGAAGCCGGGACGGCCTGCCGATTCGGTCGCGGCCTACAGGCCCATCGTGCTGCTGGACGAGGCGGGTAAATTGTTTGAGAGGGTTCTTTCTGCCCGCATCGTCCGGCACCTCTACGAGGTGGGCCCCGATCTGTAGGACGCCCAATTTGGTTTTCGGGCGGGGCGTTCGACAGTCGACGCTGTTTTGCGCCTGAGGGCCGTGACCGAAGAGGCCGTGAGCTGTGGCGGCGTGCTGTTGGCGGTGTCATTAGACATCGCCAACGCATTCAATAGTCTGCCATTCAGCTGCATCATGGAAGCACTCCACTATCATGGGGTGCCAAAGTAAATGAGGCAGCTAGTGGCAGACTATTTAGAGGAGCGTAGGACCGAGATGGTAATTTGAGGTGTCGGCCCATGTCGTGCGGTGTTAGACAGGGGTCTGTTCTTGGACCCCTCTTGTGGAACATAGGGTACGACTGGGCCCTTCGCGCCGATTTCTCCCCCGGGCTGGGTGTAATCTGTTACGCAGACGATACCCTGGTGACAGCCCGGGGGGCAAACTTCCAAGAGGCGGCACGCCTGGCCACAGGGGGAGTCTCCCTGGTGGTCGGGCGCATTGAGGCGCTGGGCTTACGAGTGGCCCTAGATAAGACGGAGGCCCTGTTATTTCATGGGCCCCGTCGTGGTCCACCCCCTGGCGCCTCAATCGTGGTCAACTCGGTCCTCGTACCGGTTCGGGCCCAGATGAAATATCTGGGCCTGATCCTCGACGGGAGGTGGCTCTTCGACGAGCACTTCCGACAGCTTGCTCCAAAGCTGGTTGGCGCTGCGTCTGCCCTAGGGCGACTTTTGCCCAATTTGGGTGGACCCAGCGTCGCGACAAGACGGCTGTACACGGTGGTTGTCCGGTCAATGGCACTATACGGTGCACCGGTGTGGGCGGCGGCTCTGACCGCCCAGAATAGGGCACGCCTCTGGCGCCCTCAGAGGGTAATGGCGGTCAGAGCCATACGCGGTTACCGCACCGTGTCGACGGAGGTGGCGTGCGCGTTGGCCGGAACTCCCCCGTGGGATTTGGAGGCGGAAGTGCTCGCCGAAGTTTATCGGCGAGTGGCTGACTCCCGGGCGGAGGGCGAAATCAGCCGAGGATGTGCGCGAGTGGCGCGAAGCCGCTCGCCGAGCCACGATGGCTCGTTGGTCGTTCCGGCTGGAGACTCCACGCGCTGGCTTCGCCGCCGTGGAGGCTCTCCATCCGGTCATCACCGAGTGGGCAGGGCGGCAGCACGGGACCCTTACCTTCCGGCTGACGCAGGTGCTTTCCGGGCACGGTTGCTTCGGAAAGTACCTACACTCGGTCGCTAGGAGGGAACTGAGTCCCGCCTGCCACCACTGCGACTGCAGTGTGGACTCGGCCGAGCACACGCTGGCGGTCTGCCCCGCATGGGCGACGCAGCGCCGGGCCCTCACTGCAGTCATCGGAGTGGATCTCTCGCTACCGGCCGTAGTACGCTCCATGGCCGGTAGCGACAGTTGTTTTACCGCGGTCGCAACCTTCTGCGAGGAAGTAATCAACACTTATCTACAGCAGTCAGAATTTCTGTATAATTTCTATTTTTATAAAATTTTAGATTACAGCAAAATTAATGTACTCGAGAAAAGTTCAGAATAGAATATGTATTACATATATTGCGAAAAGAAAATCCCAACTCGATTAAAATAACTCTATAATGGTAAAAAATATACGTGAGAAATGACATTTAATGTCATGTCAAATAAACAGCAAGATCTTTTTCTTAGAAATTCTACTGTTGTTTGTTAATGATTACAAGAGCTAGAGCCAGCAGAGCACGTTTAACACCTCCGGACTCGTCGCTTCGCTCCGCCGTGCAGTCCCCGGAAGTCACAACACAAGTCCCGGTGATTACAGAGGCGTCGAGCTCGACTTCAAGCGACGAGTTTTTCTCCCCGCCAACGTCGCCAACACCTGTACGTCGGCAGGGGAGAGGTCGGCCACCGGTTTGCCTGGGATCCCGAGGCCCATCGGCTTCGAATAGGGCCCCCGCTATCGGTGGTAATGTGCGTCGCATGAAATGGACTTCTTCAATGAACGAGAACGTCATGCGAGCATATTTTGTGGCTACAGAGGGTGAAACTAATCTCACTGCGTATCGTAATCGTTTACTAACTCTGTTTCAGGAACTTGAACCAACTGTTAACGTTACGGTGCAAAGGTTATCGGATCAAGTGCGAGCTATTAAGCGATGTAATTTGTTGAATAGCTCTGTACTTGAAAGGCTACGCTCCGACTTACAGATAAGCCTCACTACTTTTCCTTCTTCACAAGCAGTCACGCATCAAGATCTCGAAATACCACAGGCTTCTCCTGCTGAAGGAGAGGAAATTGATGCTTCTTCTGTAAGTACCCAGTACAATGATATAATAAGGAATACTTTGGAAGGTGCTATCCTGGAATATGGGTCCATGAATTTCGTAAACAGACCACGTTTACCTCGTTTGCCGATGCATAAGCGAAATAAGGCTTTAGTGTGTGCCCTTGATTCTATATTACCACCATATTTTGAAAAATGTGAAAACCTCAGTGATACACATTCAATTCTATATTGTGCGGCTGTTACTGCATGTCGAGTAGCTGGTGTCAAATTCTCAAGAGTTGACATGGCTCCTCGACCTAAGTCTCTGATGCCGTCGTGGCAGTGTAGAATTGAACGTCGTATCGCTGAGGCAAGGGTACTCATTGGCAAGCTTATCCGTTTCAGATCGGGCAACACACGCCCGAGAGTAATGCGCTTTGTGAATCAGACTTTTTCGGGAACTGGTATCAGGTCCTGTGATTATATGGCACGAGTCACAGAGCGCATTGACTTTCTGAAACAGAAGGTTTATGCATGGGCAAACCGTATACGAAGGTATAAAAAAAGAGTGGACCGATATACTCAGAATCGCACTTCCAAAGGGACGAGAGGTGGGTTTATAGACGGTGGGCGCAGCCTGATTTAGTGAGTGATGGACATTTTCCAGATGTTAAAATTACTAATACATTTTGGCGTAACATATGGTCGATGCCTATCACTCACACAGAGGGTGAATGGATGCGAGATGTCGAACGATCGTGTGAGTCAATCAATACAATGGAGCCAGTATCAATTTCAGATATGGATATAGCTTATGCAGTTCGTTCGCTACCGAATTGGAAGTCAGCGGGACCGGACGGACTGCATAACTTTTGGTTAAAGTGGCTCCGTAGCTCACATGTACGTTTGGCATCTCATTTTCAATCATGCCTAGAATCAGGTTCGCTTCCATCTTTTATGACTACAGGACTAACTCACCTAGTCTATAAATCTGGTAGTGCCACGGATCCCAAAAATTATAGGCCAATAACGTGTCTTCCGACGTTATATAAATTACTAACGTCCATTCTTAGAGATAAGATAACATCTCATATTACGAACAACTCTATTATATCTCACTCTCAGAATGGATGTAGAGGTGGGGCACGTGGCACTAAAGAGCTCCTTATTATTGACATGACTATTAACCAACAAGTTCGTCGTAACCGAAAAGATCTGTCGACATGTTGGATAGATTATAAAAAGGCTTATGACTCTGTACCGCATACGTGGCTCTTGAGGGTGATGGAGTTGTACAAGATTGATACAACTCTATGCACTTTTATGGAGACATGTATGCGGCAATGGAGAACGGTTCTTTGCTATGCAGGATGTCGGCAATCTCAAGGCGATGGCGAATATATAATGATTAAGCGGGGTATATTTCAGGGTGACAGTTTGAGTCCCTTGTGGTTTTGCTTAGCTTTAAATCCTCTCAGCACTATGTTGGAGGGTTCAGGGCTAGGCTATCGTTTGCAGAGAGATGGTAAGGTTATATCCCACCTCCTTTACATGGATGATTTAAAACTGTTTGCTTCCAGTAGTTCCATACTGATGAATTTACTAGAAATAACTAAAACCTTTAGTAAATGTATCAGAATGGAATTTGGTGTAGATAAGTGTGCAATCATGCATGTAAAAAGAGGCAGGGTTGTGGAGTCTGATAGGTTGGAACTCTCAGATTCCACGCACTTTACATGTCTCTCAGCTAACGAAACTTACAAATATCTGGGTATGTCACAGGCGTTAGGTGTAAATGAGTTGAATATGAAACAATCGTTACAGGAACGCTTCTTTAGCCGCCTGAAAAAAGTATTAAATAGTCTTTTATCAGGTGGTAATAAGGTGAGAGCCTATAATGATTGGGTCATACCAGTTCTAACTTACTCTTTTGGCATACTTAGATGGACTCAGACTGAACTAGATACCCTGGATAGAAGAGTTCGTACATTGCTTACTGTATACCGAATGCATCATCCACGTTCATCGGTGATGAGGTTATATATTCCACGAAAATGTGGTGGTCGTGGTTTTCTAAATGCCAAGACCCTCCACAATCGTGAGATATGTAACCTTAGGAATTACTTCCTGTCTGTTGATGTGGATATGCATAGGGCTGTAGTAGCAGTTGATAACGGACTCACTCCGCTTGGTCTAGGTAAAGAGAACTGGCGCAAATTTGCAGTACTCAACATTACTGATCGTAAGGAGATATGGAAGGGCAAAGAGCTGCATGGACGTTTTTATCGAGCCTTGAACAGGCCTGAGGTGGATCAATTAGCGTCTGTATTCTGGCTTCGATTCGGTGACCTCTTCGGGGAAGCTGAAGGTTTTGTCTTTGCAATTACTGATGAAGTTGTTATGACGAATAATTATCGGAAGTATATCCTGAAGGACGGCACAATAGACATTTGTCGGGCATGTCATTGTCCTGGCGAAAGCCTTAGACATATAATTTCCGGTTGTTCTCGTCTTGCCAACGGCGAGTACTTGCATAGACATAACCAAGTGGCCAGGATTGTCCATCAGCAACTTGCTCTTAAGTATAACCTTGTGACTGTAGAGTTACCGTACTACAAATATGTGCCCGACCCAGTTCTTGAAAATGGTCGTGCAACGTTGTACTGGGATCGCCCTATTATCACTGACAGGACTATAGTTGCCAATAAACCTGATATAGTGGTAATAGACCGATTGGAGCGCCGAGCAATGATTGTTGACATTACCATTCCACATGTCGACAATCTCGTGGGCTAAATCCAAATACTTCACTTGTTTATCTTTTTCAGCTTTCAAGAGATTGGGATGTTGATTCGGCAATCGTTGTACCGATAGTCATATCGGCCCATGGACTAGTTGCTAAGAGCCTCGACCAACATCTTCAGAGGCTCGCGTTAGGCAGTTGGATTAAGGGTCTGATGCAGAAAGCAGTTCTTCTCGATACGGCACGTATTGTGAGGAAGTTTCTGTCTCTGGAGTCCTAACCACCGATATCTTGGTCTCTGTACCCGATACCGATGGGATACTATTTTTTATATTTTTAAATGTATTTTATTTTTTGTTTTTGTATATAAATATATTTAAAAATGTAATTTATATGTATAAAGAATGAAATAAAGAAATAATAATAATAATTTATTTATTTGACCAATATAAATATTACAGTGTAGGACATTTCAGTTTAACATAGATCTTAGACAATAATTAGACTAAGTTACACTAGCGTAAATCTATAGTAGTGTTATTTTATGATTACAATGACCGTATATTATTATTTATTAAATTATTTATTAATTTATTATATATACATATATATTTATATTATGATATTATATTACGACTATTATTTAATCATCCGTGGTAGATTTATTAGTAAGCTAACATTGTAGGATTTACTCCACTCATATCATAACACCAACAGCCTTTAATACTCCATTACTAAACACAGGCCTCTCCTTAGAGGGCACCAGGGACTTCCTTTCTAGGGTATACCTGGTTCCCCGGCTATTAGTACCCGAGACGGCGTGCGGTTTTAGTCGGTTCGAGTCCGACATGCCACCGACAGGTGGTATCCGAGGGGATTTCCGCACGAAAAAAAAAAGAAAAAAAAGGCCTCTCCTTAGAAAGGACTTTTGGTATATCTCATGATAACCAGGTAGTGTACTCTTTGTAGTGCTGGTATCCTGCACAGTTTGCTCCCTTAGTCGACTCTTACGATACCCATGGGATAAATAGGATAGTCGCCACAGGAACATCTATATACTCTATTAATAAAACTAAATTTGATCTTAACAAACTTTAATTTACACAAGTAGTTTTATTTTAAAAGAATTGAAAAGTAAAAGTATGATATGGAATTTGTCATTATTCCATTACTTAACTTTAATCATGTGATATGTCCGGATGACACAGCGTAAAATCACCTGAAGATAAGTTATCTTCAGATGATACGCTTTTAATACGACAAGTAACTTGCCTAAAGTAGACACAGGAAACGTATGTTTTCGATGCAAAAAGAAGAATAAAGCGTGTTTAAATATTGCTTTTAACTCGAAACTAAACAACTCACAAACAATATAAACAAAACAAAAAGTTAATTTTAAGCTACTTCTAATTGTGATACTTAAATCAAACTTTCTATTTATCTTATTTCGAAGACAAAATTGTAATATGGCGTCTTTTGGTCTGATGATAGGGCCAGGATGAGTAGAGTCTTCAGTACTACAGTAAACCCCTTGACTTTTGGCTCACATGACTAGTTTCGAAGAGCGTCTTGGTCTCGATAGTTTGGCAATGAACCCAGGTGATTAGTAGAAGAACTCGTTATTACTTTTTAATTTGTATTTTTATGATACTATAATTATTTACTCATAAAAACAACTGTCGAACCTGACGTGGCATGACCTTGTCCTACAAGCAATACAAGCTGTATTAAGCATCATGATTGACACAAATGTGAATTTCCGCAAACATATTGCAGCATACAGTACGAATATAACAATAACAGCGTTGCAGAAATTTACGTCAGAAAAAAATATTATTTATATCATGTCACCCATACCACATAACAGACATTCCTACGGTGGAGGTTTCATAACTATCTAACTGCAACTAAAACCTATTCCAATGCTAGCCTGTCACTATTTTTCATAGTTCTTACTTAGCTATAACAAAGTTCTAATTGTTGGCCTTTTACTGGGGTATAAAATAAAAATAATAATTCGTTGACATTTAAATTAGCACACACGTGTTTAAGAATTCTGTATATCTTGTGTCAGCTTAAACAGTGTTGCAGAAGATAATGTCTTAGCCTCTAAAATGAAAGTCACAATATCGGTAAAAGTACAAAGAAAGTAATAAAGTAGAATAAAAGTTAAACCTAGTTTTGTCAAGTTCGTGTGATGTGTGAGATGTGTGTGTGTTATTTATTTCCATTGAAAGTTCTTTCAAAGGTTACAGCATAAAAATTCACTAAGTAAGTTTTTATCAAAACATTAACTTATGTTTAGACATTAACGTTTTTTTTTTTTCAAAACAGACAGTCTGTGTTGGCAATTAAATAATAAAAGAAAAAATGAGTACATTATGATATATCGCATAAAAAGTTTGTTGCGAGAGTCACAAATATTTTTTAAGTTTATGGTTGATTGTTTTTAAGGTAAGGAAGAAAATTAAAGGAATGTGAACAGTACCAAACTACTGAGCGTAAACATAAAAATCTAAGAATAGAATATCTTAACAGAAACTTATATATTGTGTAGTTGAAATATATGGAAAAGATTCTCAGCAAGTAATTGGTCACCTTATTAAATAAATGAATTCTAGAGACATAATGTCTGATGATGAATATTATTCATCTTAAAGGACCCTCTCCACGTGAGTTCAACTCGAATTTGGCCGGTCTAACCGACGATGAGAACTCATTGGTCACCCCCATGTGAATAAATGACTAGTTCTCAGTAGTTAGGCACTATATGTACTTCTACTACTCAGTACTCACTGCTTCTAAAAATAATACAATAAAATTATAACAATAAAAAAAATAGGTTGAAAGAATTAGGTTTTGGCATCAAAATTAGATTAGGTTCAATTCTTTTAATACAAATTAAACTTATAATGAGGCAGGGAAAGGAAAGGATTTTATATATTTTTATAATTTTCGCTCCAGAGAGTCTAGAGCGAAAATTATATTCTTCTTATATTATTATTTATAATTTTATATATTTTTGTTTTAATGTATTACGTAAAAATATTTTTATTTAGTTTTTTAGCACACCGCATATTTATATGTCTAGGTGAGGAATATAGTAGGGGATTTAAAGATACTCAAACGTAGAAGTGACATATAAAATTGAATCTTAAATATCCACTATGATCATGTTTACCACTTCTCTTCTCTTTCAGAAATCTATGACACGCCTACTGTTAATAGATAATATGTTGGCATATATATATATATATATATATATATATATATATATATATATATATGCCAACATATTATTAAAGCCTTTGTCCAGCTTAAACTGTTAGAGGCTGTTGATAATGATGATGGCTTATATAGGGCTAATAATAATATATATATATATTTATATATATATATTTTTTTTTTTTTCTTTGCTTTTTCTTAGAAATGGGGTTTAAGCCTCTATTTACTCCATTTCTAAGGAATTTTTTCTCCAATTCTAAGGAAAACCTAGACATATAGGATTGGCCGTTTGGCTAGCATAGTAGCTAGCCAAACGGCCAATCCGTTTGGCTAGCATAGTACAGCATAGTATTATAGCATAGCGGATTGGTATTGGGGTTGTGTCAAGTTTTTAATCTCTTTGCAGTGCTGTTGTCTCTTAGTCAGCTGTTACAACGGGTTGAATAAGGGTGGTGACACTTCGTATTCTTAATCAATCACCACACGGACAACATCATCTCTATTTTAAACACTTAAAATTAATTTACATTCTCATATAAGTTTTGTAATATGCAACGATTTTTACAAAGCAGATATATACTAAAATAAGTTTTATGAATATGATTTTATTTCTTTCAGGTTTGTCTCCTACACAATTCTAAATAACTTAACTGTTATACTCGTAAATCTATGGTTTGTAAGTATACCGGCTGTCGGGTGGTTCATAGTGGAAACACCACATACTCCTGGGAATCGAACCAAAATTATATTCTTTTTTAACGTTATCAAGTTAATATTGATCATTGCAAAATATTCCTATATTAAAAATCATACATTTCCCTAAAAAATTAATAGCATTACGTTACGCCACATTTACGTCTTCTTGTACGACTATAAAATATATTGAAAAGATTACAATAAAGCTTAAGTTTTATGACCGTTCTAAAAATAAGATATGACGTTTCTAACGTTTGTTGTCAGAAATGATCTGGATTATATTTGCTGCATGTCATTCAAGCACATTAAAGGTAGTTCAACTGAACTAACTTCTCATAATAACAAGGTAACTCTTAATGACCTGCAATGATGTTGACTATATGAGTGTGTAATGTTAACCTCCACATAAATATCTTTAATCAATAAAAAAAAGAAAAT